GCTCTTTATGAATTTGATTCGACTTATTCTATTCCTATTCTCTATAGGGTACGGTTGTGCACCAAACACGAAAAGGTATGAAATTAAAACAACCGGCTTGTGGATAATTGTATAAAACCAAAAGTGGACAACATGATAGTAAAACCTATAGGGTAGCATTATACATTGCAAATGAACTTTGTCAGCCTAGGGATTATAGTCTCCCATTGTATTTCCTTTATGAATGCATATATTAATGATACATTGCATTTACCTATTTCATTACACTTTAATGATTCACCTTTGCACCTTTACTTTTCTAAAACAGCTTACTATCCCTTGTAAACGTTGTACTTACCTCAATATTGGTTGGTTATCGTATGCCAACAACTACGGGTTGAAAACGAAATGAAGTCGATTTTCCTGCGCAACCTGGAGGACTGCTGTTTAATTCAATAATGATACGACATGGGTCAGACAAAGAGTGTATTTATACATATATCAAATATTTAGCTGTTCAAACATTACTAACTTGTAGACAATCTACTATTTGACATTATATCATACTTGATCGTGCCTGTAAAAATGGCATGCATTTTCATGTAAATTTATGTTTATATGAAAATATACGTTGTTATTATTATTATTTTGCTCTGCGGCGTCAATGTCTTTCCGTCTTTCGAGGACATTGTGGCCCTTATGGTATTTCCGTCTTGCTTTCTGCGGGAGACTACATTATGCCATTTATTGGCACCCTCATCGCTATCCGTAGTCGATTGTGTCTGCCTGCTATCCACCAACGATGGTGAGCCTTGATCTACAAGTCCCTGGGCGACTTTAGCTGCCAGTTTTCGACCCCTGGTAAACCTTTTCCTCGTGCCAGTCTTTCCATTACTGTTACTGGAGGGCATTTCTGTATTATAGTAGCATCATGGCTGTCTGAATGTAGTGGGTGCTCTTCTGTGCTAGAGGGGACTCACTGGCTGACAGAGACGTGTATTGTCTTGTCTTTGACGCTAGTCACGTCATCGGTGTCTGAGCAGTAATCTCTCTTCTCTTGTGGTGGAAGACCCCTGCAGCCCAGGAGCTTTAGCGCCCCACTTGGAGTGGCGATGGTTTCCATTATACGAAACTTAGTCGTACCAATGCAGTCATTGCACAGCCAGTTCGCCAGAGGTTTCTAGCAGCGCTTGTATGCTGCAGGAGTTGAATTTGTGCACATGGTATGAAACTGTAGCGGTAAGTAGTTCCCCAAAATTATTGACCACAGCAATCATCACTGAACATTGGATACTGACCATTTCTGTTTAAGTCGACTTGTTTAGCTGAAGGCTTCCGGTCAAGTATCCACGCCATTCGGCACTCAGCTGTGTCACGTTCGTGCACGATCACTAGCCAGTTAAGCAGTCATCTCGCTCTGCGATTTGGTCCCGAAATATATCTCGTAATTTGGAAGATTAATCGTGTCTTTTGCTTCGCCTTTGGTCCACGAGGAATGAATACTATAGAAGTTGTTGGTATAAGACCTTGCGTTAGTATACTCCGTGCAATTCGCGAACGTCAATACCGTCAGCCTCTAAACTGGTGGGTCAAAACGCGAACTTCATCTTTGGTAAATACACAGACATCCGGTGAGTTCGTTCCACTTTGTATTTTTTCCTGTACTGTTTTTAAACTATATATATTCCGCATGGGATAACCGACCAACGGTCACAGTTCTTCACAGTTGTTCACTCCCTACCGCTGGAATTCAGCAAGTGCGTAACTGTGCAGATGTCGAGTCTAGAGGAAAGTATCTCGTACGAGTTGCTCAAATCATCTCTCCTAAGGAGAAGCGTTCTCACGGATCGACAGTGTCTGGACGAATTATTTCGTAACATCGAGTCAGAGGATCAATCAGCTGTGAGCATGCTAACAAGAATGAGAGAGGTTATTAGCCAAGGTCAGTTCGATGAAGGACTTTTCAGAGAACTCTTCTTATCCAAACTGCCACAGTCAGTACAGGCTGTACTTGTGACACTTCAGGGTGTTCTTAAAGATGACTTAGCAGTTTCTGCAGATAAAATTCTAGAAATAACTAAGCGGCCAGTTACCGAAATATGCTCAGTTGCCAAACAGACTTCGAGTAAGGATACTGCAATGATGGAGTTATACAATTCCATCCAGCAGATGCTTAGGTCAAACTTGCCTTGTGATTCCTCCTACCGTCGTTCGAACTCCCCTCAACGGCGAAACTCGCGTGGTCGATCTAAGTCCAAGCTACGTTCACTAAAAAACCCTGACTGTTGTTTTTATCACAACACCTATGTCCAGGAAGCGAAATGTTACCAAAAACCTTGTAATTTTGGCAGTCTCAAAGACTAAGGGAAACTATCCTGCCGGCACGCGTTAGTGGCAACCGTCGCCGGTGGCACTAGCCACATACTTTACATTCGTGATGAGGACAGCCAGACCCAATACTTAGTCGACACAGGCACCGAAGTCAACGTCCTTCCCGCTACAGCGGCAGATCGACAGAAGGAACCTGCCTTCAACTTACAGGCTGCAAATGGAAAACCAATTGCAACCTATGGTAGGAAATACGCCTATCTGAACGTAGGTTTGCGCAAACCTATTCAGTGGATTTTCCTTCTCGCTGACGTCACAATGCCCATCATTGGCACAGACCTACTTAATCATCATGATTTACTCGTAGACGTCCGCCGAAAATGACTGATAGACGGTACTACTAGACTTTCTATCAAAAGCATCACTTACGTAGGTCACAGCTCATCACTGGTTAAGATGAAGGCAATCCTTGATCCAACTTTCCAACCGATTGTTGATAAATATAGAAAATATCCCCATTTAGACATTTGAGAAAACAGAAAGATTGAGCGAAGAAATATTTACTTTTCAATTAGATCCTCTTCTATGGCTCTACTCTAATATATATAGCATTTTTTGCAATACACAACAATATACCAAACACGTGGCGATATGTTTGTTAACAATAATTAACTAGTGTCAAAATGTCAATGGGTAGATAATTAAGGAAGAAAATTAATACACACAATTAAAAGGTAGAAATGGATAGAATAAATTAATTTTACAAGAATAACACGTAATTAAAGATGAAGTGGTCAAAATAAAAATAAAATAATTTGGACAATTATAATTTAATAGGAGGAGGGGGCGACGTAGTCCTGTCTTGTAACGATGGCCACGGTAAGCAAAGTGGCTGTACAAATTTCTTCTGTACACATAGGCTTGGTTTCTTCTGGTGGATTCCAATTGCTTCAGCTGTCTGTAAAAGACGAAATCTTAGAGCAAAGTTAAGATTAGTTGGAATACGATAAATAATTTTAAATGCAGTATTCACATCAACCTCGTAGTTCTATTTTAGCACACCTTGTTGATACTGAGCACAAGGTCGATGTAAATACTGCATTTAAAATTATTTATCGTATTCCAACTAATCTTAACTTTGCTCTAAGATTTCGTCTTTTACAGACAGCTGAAGCAATTGGAATCCACCAGAAGAAACCAAGCCTATGTGTACAGAAGAAATTTGTACAGCCACTTTGCTTACCGTGGCCATCGTTACAAGACAGGACTACGTCGCCCCCTCCCCCCATTAAATTATAATTGTCCAAATTATTTTTATTTTTCTTTTGACTTCTTCTTTAATCACGTGTTATTCTTGTGAAATTACATTATAATTGTCCAAATTATCTTAATTTTATTTTGACCACGTCACCTTTAATTACGTGTTATTCTTGTAAAATTAATTTATTCTATCCATTTCTACCTTTTAATTGTGTGTATTAATTTTCTTCCTTAATTATCTACCCATTGACATTTTGACACTAGTTAATTATTGTTAACAAACATATCGCCACGTGTTTGGTATATTGTTGTGTATTGCAAAAAATGCTATATATATTAGAGTAGAGCCATAGAAGAGGATCAAATTGAGAAGTAAATATTTCTTCGCTCAATCTTTCTGTTGATAAATATCCGGAACTTAATTGCTCGTCTAATGATCTAACGTGCATGACCAGAAATGTTATGCATCACGTCATAACCTCAGGACAGCCCATAAAATCTAAAGCACGATGACTTGCTCCTGACAAACTGAGACTCACTAGAAATGAGTTCGACCATATGCTCACCCTTGGTACCACTCGACCATCGAATAGCCCGTGGGCATCCCTACTGCACATGGTACCGAAAAAGGATAGCAGCGATTGGCGACCCACTGTTGATTACCTGTGAGTGAACACCAAAACAACCCCTGATTGCTATCCATTGCCTCACATACACGACTTGACGGCAACATTATCTGGCGCAGCTATATTCTCTAAAATCGACTTAGTTAGAGAGTATAACCGAATCCCGATGGCACCAGATGTTCCGAAAACGGCTATCATTGCGCCTTTCAGACATTTTGAATTTCTACATATGCCATTTGGTTTACGGAATGCAGCACAAACATTCCGAACGTCAATACTGTCAGCCTGTAAAAACCATCTCTTGCAGTAATCGCACTGCATCCCTTCTTCAACTGGAAACTGGCACATAACTTTTCCAAAGAGGTTCCTTTTGACAGCCATGCTTTCCAGAGTGAATCGGGACAAAAAGATTCAAATATGACCTTATGTGTATAACCTTCATCAAACAGTGATAGAAATCCAACTAGTGTACAAAAATGTATATAAATAACTATGGTTTTACAAGAACATACTTCCGATAATTAAATAGACTCAAAAATGAATAGTAAATTTAGATCAGGATAAACTGATTCAGAGTGAATCTATAGACGTTTAGAGCCTATAATGCAATAAAAGCTGAAATTAAACATGAGCGTGTAAAATTCACTCCTATTTCAAAGTTCGCGCAGTAGCGGTAGAGAAAAAGAATAAGTAAATGAAAATCTAGAAATACAATTGCACACCTTCAGAAAATGAAGGCTCGAGAGCAGAATTCTCTTCGCCCTTTAAGATTTTTCTTACGACTCAATATGGGAATATTCCGTTCAAGAAAAGCTGTGTCTTAAGCATCAGGTGGATTCGAAGTGCACGCTACATCTGGTTTTCTGGAGGATGCATGTTGTCGACCCGGAGTTGGACTCACAGGAATCCCTGGATGATAACATTGGTAATAAACTTATTCCTTTTTTCTAAAAGATTTAGTCAATAGTTCAGTGTCATCCACCACTGATGACGACTCATATTCACGCAATGGTAATTTCGAATTCTTATTCTTAAATTGTCTCAGTTCATTCCTTGAGTTCATTTAATCTCCAACCAAGAGATGGCAATTATGGTAAATACAAGGTAGGTAACCCACTGTTTTGGCAATGAAATATCATAGTTATGTTTAATCTGAAATATCATTCCCTTACGTAAAGACGTTGCTTAGCATTGTTATCCTGTAACGCGTTTAAAATAAGATTCATCGTTATTTGAGTGTGTCAGTTAGTCTTTAAATATAAAATATCCTCGAGTTGCGTTGTGCAAGGCAGTTCTAAAATTTTATCAACGAGTTACTGACGGGGGGGGTGGCAATAATAAAGAATAAGTATCACATCCAAATGACCTTAAACTAACCAACCATGAACTTCTAGGTTGAAAGTATTTACAGCATAAGAAATTATGCCTAATAACAGTGAGGTGCCTAGGATATATGTCTCTAATATGTTGCAAAAAGAAGTTTTCCATAGGAGTGGATATAGCAGTTAAACCGTTCTAATCTGTCTCTAAGATATCCCAAAGACCCTGCAACAGAATCCGTGTAAGCAGTGGTTATGCGACCCGCTAATTCTAATGAATAATTGACTTTATGTTGAATATAACCCAATGGTGATAGTGAAATTGCTCAACATTTCAAGTCGATACTGTGCATAACCGTTGCAATTTTCGCCCTAACCTTAAACCTACCCTAACCCTGAATTAAGCCGAAACTTACAATAAAGATTATGGAAAGCATCCATTCGCAACAACGAGCGACCTGATTGGTTGGCTCAAGGTCATTTGGGCTATGGTATTCCTTCTTTACTCTTGCCGTGGTAGGGATTCTCAAATCCGGACTAAGGGGTAATAAATGCTTCCTGCCGCAGTTGTATTAGTGAATATCAAGTATCTTAAACGCATCCACTGAGGAAGTCACTATAAGTGATTTCACTATCGCAAGTGGATATCTCAGTGAATCATTAGTGATGCTCATCGTAAAATGAAGCTTTTTCTGATACTAGATTTCGAAGTACCCCGGAAAAGAACGCCACCTAAGGTAAAAATCAGTAATGGTGGTCATGATGCTTAAAGCAATCAAGATATGATATTTTTTAGGAGCGAGAAGAAACTTATGCCCATAAGTCTACATTCCAGATAAAACCTTAAAAAGATATGCCTTTTTACCACTTCCTTATTCCTTGTACCAAACATTATTTTGAAATTATTCATAGGTCGTCAACAATCTAAAGCTATATGTGTTATTCGGTGACACTGTAACTTGTCTACTTTGTGCCACATCCATTTAAGTAATGGAATTGTATAGCACTGCTGACAGACAAACCATAATAGTCTCAGTAGAACTGTAGAGTGGCTAATATGCTGTTTCCTTTGATGTATACTAAGTTTGGACCAAGTTCTTTTTGTACTTTCATTTTTCGTATGTATGACTCTAATTAACTTTTGTGAAAAACTTGTAGTCCTTCAGTTGTTTTGTTGTTTCACAACAGTTTTGTATACTTTCAGGTGATTACTCAATTTTTTTCTATAGTCTAGTTTTTTTTTTTATCCTTCACGTTCCCCAGTGGAACATAGGGCTTCAAGCTAGTGGCTTGAAGTTTCTGTAGCAGTGTTTATTTTACAGGATGGGGTTGCTAGCCTCATGCCCAACCTTTCCTCTTTACCAGTCGAACTACTGGCTTAGCGAGGTAAAGGAGTGCGTCGGCCGGGGATCGAACCCCGGACCATGTGCATGGTCGGTGAGCGTCCTAACCGCTATGCCACCGACGCACCCTATAGTCTAGTGCAGTTTGTTTATTTCTATGTATGTTAACGGTAAAACCTTTTTAAGAGTATGCTTTTGTTTAGTGTGTGAATCATTTGAGTGAGTGTTTTACCCAGAAAGATAAGATATTCACAGATATCAAATTCTGTATAACTTCGATGAACTGCACTTCATCAATATGAAAAAATAAAATATGAGAGCCCTGCATGTTTATGAAAGTATGGGCGATTTTTTACTCCTCACCTGCCCACATCGTTTCAGTTGGTTTCTTCTTGAAATACTTGAAATAGAAAGGGCATTAATGTACTGGGATCCTGAAATTCAGGCGATCATTGCTTAAAAGCGGTCACACCCAACCTGTCTTAACTGGTTTCCTGAGTTTTATCCAAAGTGAGGTAAAGTTACATCGACTGAGATGGTTAGGACATGTGTTACCGTGCCTAGCCATCTTCTTCCTCGACAACGGGCAATGTTAGCTGGCATAGGGTCAGGCTAGAAAAGAGCTAGCAGTGCTGAAACCAAAACAGGGCCTCATCAGTCCATGAAATCCACAACAGTTAGTTTAAGCCAGCCACGTAGGAAGATGTAGACTTCCTGGTTGGGGTCCTCGGAACGGTAAAAACCAATGACGGCTGAAGACAATTGGTGATGTGGCTCAAAATCCTCGTTCTCAATGACTGGTGCAGACACATCCACTCCTTGTGACTTATAATTTCCGATAGAACTATATTGTTCTATATTACTATTCCTTTTGCCTCATATTTCTGTTTACTGTCTCTATTTTGCGTTTCTTTCTACTTCTTCTCTGGCTTTATGTGCTGAGTGAAGTGTGGCGACTCGAACTGCTGCACATCAGCGCAAAGTTCTATGTTGAAAGCAGTCAGTCAGTCAAATCAGGCTGCAGTCTGCCACTAGGTCAGTCGAAATGTACAGTTGTTGAGATTGGAATTTTCTGGCCACTATTATCCCCAGACTGACGAGACAGCATGCCTAGCTTGCTGGTCGATCTAGGGTAAAACCTTACTGCTGTTATATCACTATTCGCCAGCAGTACAACTTCGTTCATAGTCCCGCAATACAATGTAAAAGCATTAAGTTATGTTGGTAACCACTATCCAAACGACCTTTCTGGTATAGTTGGTGTCCTATGGTCATACTTTATCAATTTTTAATGTAAATGAGACATGTCTGATTTGTTCCCAAGCTGTTTGTATGGTTAAGCTAGTGTCTGTGTCCCACTAAGCTGTATTACTGTTCAAAACCCTCATTAACAGTCATCATTGTTATGCTAAAAAGTTATACTAGAATAAGAATCCATTATCTAGAGGTGTCGTCTTATTTACATCTCTACCTAGACACTGACTGATCACGTTCTGAATGCAGTTAAAAAAAAGAGCTTTACCATTAATTAGGTGGTCTCAACCATCGCGATCGCCAGCTATTCTGGTGCTAACTGGGGGGGGGGTCTTGATTTTACATTTCAAGAGTCTAGATCCAGAGGAGAGTTATTTAACTGGTCTTAATTCAAATAATAGAAATCCTTTTCTGTATCTTGGAATGTTATAACTTGAATGGATGTACTTTAATGTCAAATTCTACGTTGTTATTCCTTCAAGTATTTCTTACACGAATTCTCCGTAATAAATTTGAACAGTTACAAAAAAAAGCATTGGTGCAAAATAATCTGAATCCACTTTGTTTCGTCGGTCCTCATCATCTGCGTACAATCTGTATTGTTTAATAAAACCAGTTACATTACAATTTTACCATTTATTTAGTTTATCACCATGAATCAGTCCGCCGGTGAGTGGTGTTGTGAGAAAGCCATAGCGAAACAAAGCATAATGATAATAAGGTTATATACATATTTATTTTCAAAAGAATGTTTCTTGAACATAGAAAATTCTTCTCGATAACTCCTTCATCATCAGGTTCTACAGTTATATATACATAATGGTGAATGAATTAGTGTTATTAACAACATTAATGTTGTTTAAATAACATCGAATCAATAATATCAATAGATTACAGTTCAGCAGCATCAACATAACAATAAACTGAATGTTATAAAATTAGGAAAGATAATATTTTTCTATAGTTTGGTTTGTAAGGATTAGTTATGTTTTACGAGTTGATCACGGACTGATATCAGTTAGAGAACCATTGAAAACCAGGGAGTACTGGACAGCTGCTGTTTCATCCTAGTTTGGGAATCATCGGCAGTACGCACCCACTGCCGATGATTCCCAAACTAGGATGAAACAGCAGCTGTCCAGTACTCCCTGGTTTTCAATGGTTCTCTAACTGATATCAGTCCGTGATCAACTCGTAAAAGATAATATTACAAATTCATGAATTTATAGTCTCTACTGAAGACTGACCAGGGCAGTAGTAGTGGCTGGAGTTACTTCTTTTGCATATAAAGTACTGGTTGTTTGAGGCGAATTGCAATGGCATCTGCTGTTTGGAGCACGTGGTACCTAGATGTTTTTGACAATTTATTTGGTACGCGGTAGATGATAGAGAAGGATTCTTCAACGCTGACTGGCTTTGTGGCCGGTTTAGACCAGATGATCCAATATCGAACTGTTGATGGTTTTCATTACACCTTTACTTAGCCATATTGGTAGATGCTGTCGAGCATGGAAAATCAAGTTCCTAGAGCAACGGCCAATATAACTCGCTCCACCACAAGCGCAGTTGAATTGGTAGATACAATTAGAAGTGGCTAGTTTAGGTACTTCATCTTTCAATCGAGGAATCATCATCGGTCGTGTAGAAAATAAGACGTGTATTTCGCCAGCATTAAAAGTTCTTTGAACTGATTTTCTTAATTTCTTCGTAATTATTTCGCTTGTTATATCGCCTTTGAATTGCAGTCGTATATATAAAGGCTTCTTGTTTACGGATAGTGAGTAGTCCTTTTCCGCTTCCTTTGTCATGTGTTTCTTGATAAATTTGTCTGGATAGCTATTTTCAATCAAGGTATCATATACAATGCTTAATTTATCTTCAATTACTTCTTCTGTGCATATAGCTGTAACCTTGTGGCTGAGGATCTTTACTAATTTCTTTTGTACTGGAGATGAACGAAGCTGTGAAAATGTGTATATTGTCCTGTCCATGTACTTTTCCAATGCAAATTTCTTTTTGTACTACCATCTGGTTTTCTTGTAAAGAGGACATCCAGGAAAGCAATTCTGTTTTGGGATATATATATATGTCGAGTGAAAAAAATGGTGTATTACACTAAGTACACTTCAAAGAGTTGGGACTCAAATGTAATATAAAGGTTAAGCAAAAAGTGGGAGTCGAAACAAAATGATAAAATCAAAAGACAGTCTCTAATGTGTGATAGCTACCAGGGTGACTGAAGTCGTACGACGGATTCCTTCTTGACGCATTGGTCGGGTTTCGACCATTTTATTTTGATAGCTTTAGCAAACTGAAGAAGACTGTGGCTCTTTTGTCTGCTAATTAGTTTAACTCTTTCTATTGCATCCACTCAGTGTCCTGTATCCATTAGGTGTTCGGTAATTGGTGAGTTCAAACTATTCGATCTCCTTAACTGAAGGCTCTTCGGTACATGTTTAGAGAATCCGACATAGGCCCTTCTTTCTGTTCTCCCAATGTAACTGCTATCATATTTAAACGTGAATTAATTTACACATTTGGAGGTAAAAAATATGGGTCACTAGTCGATCTTTGACTGCACCAACGAGGAGGATGTTCGGATTAGAGAGACTAGTTTTGCTGCCGGATGTGTCGTCATCAGTGCTGTACTTAGACGTTTGTTTATCATATTGTCATCACCTTTGAAGTTAAGTTGAATGAAAATCGATTTCCTGCTGACTACAATTGTATGTGGAGTTATACATTCTTTCTTGTCATACTTGTTGATGAAACTTCGTGGGTAGCCATTTTATTTCAGGCATTTTTCCAGTAACATGAGTCCACTGCCCAGTTTATCTGCTGAGCGTATTCTTTTTGCCCTACAGAACATCGTCTTCGTCAGCATTCGTTTGTAGCTAACTGGGCAGAAGCTCTTGAGATTTAGGTAGAGACCACTCCGTTTCCTTGCGATAAATTGATCTCCTCAGTGTTATGTCTTTTCTTCTCTCCAAGCCCGTATCTAGGATGTGGAAACTTTGACCATCTTTCTGTTTCATCGTGAAAGTAATGCTTTTCATGTACACCCAAACGACAACTGCTACCTTAACTTGATGGTCGCCGGCCTTGCATATCGCAATGACCCAACAAGCTACACTGGCTGGAGCTTTTTTCCTGTAGGTTTTGTCATGCAGGGAAGATTGTTAAGATAGCGATTAGACTAAAAGCAGTTACCGGAATAGTGTAGGATTATTTTTACATTGTGCTGGGGGGTCTGTGAATGAAGTCTTACTGCGGAATAGGGATGACCAGCATGCCAGCTATGGTGTCTCTCCATTCCGGGGAGAGAGGGATAGAAAAGCTCGACTCCAAAAATTGTACATCCCGACTTAACCCACGGTGGTTTGTCACCGGCTGTAAGATACTGATACGAAACCAATCTAAGAAACCAGTTCACACAGGCCGTGTGTGACCGGCCTCAAGCAGTTGTCCCCTGGGCTCTGTGGTCGCTCAACACACCCTCTTTCTGTTTCAGGTACCCGAAGACTTAATTAACTTCCACGGTGTGGGCAGCCGGGAAGTAACAACCGCCCACACACTTCCAAAAGCACACGAATCCTCTCTGGGCATCATTCTTCTTTCCCTACATCACCTTTATCTTACTTTCCTTCTACAGTCGGTACTATTCTTCAGGCTCGTAAGTCATCTTCACTTCACTCTGTGACCACAAACAGCGATGAGAGCTATAGAAACAGCCCCAAATGATCTCTTAAAGCCACGTCGCCAACTTCATTTTGGAGCATTTAACGTCAGGACCCTCTGTAAAATCGGACAACAGGCATCGCTAACAAGAAAAGGTGTTAACAACCTAAAAGCAAAAGTTAGTAAGAGCCACGGAATTTCTACCACCTCATCCGAACTGATTGACGCGAAAAGACTGATTCCTGCGAGCTCCGATTATTATGAGCAACGACCGTGAACATTAGTGGGCGATAAAAGCGAAAGAGGTGAAAAAGACACCGGCGATTGGTAACACCAAACAACTATTTAGACTAATCAGGGAAACAGGTGGTAAAAGGTAAACGATAAGTGAAACAATCTGTGAGAAAAATGGCACCATAATTAGCTCCCAGGATAGACGACTCAAACTCTGGAAAGAACACTTTGAGGAGCAGTTTAATTGGCTTACAGCCACCCTCAACTTACCGAACATCCAACACCTCCCTGAATGGGACATGGACACATGTCCTCCATCCCTAACTGAGGTTACTAAGACTGTCACTAGTCTGAAATGAGGCAAAGCAGCAGGACCCGATGGAATGACTCCAGAGGTATTTAACTGCAGTGGAGACAGTTTACTGTCTGCGTTAACTAAGGTACTAGGCAGCGTCTGGGGATCAGTGGAAGTCCCGTCGGGTTGGTGTAAGTCACTGATTATCCTGATATACAAGAAGGGATACAAGTCTTCCTGTAATAATCACAGGGGGATTAGCTTGACTAATATGGTATCTAAAGTCGTAGACTCAGTAATAACGCGTAGACTAAGTGGTCCACGGGAGGCACAAACACGAGAAAACTGGGCAGGCAGGCTTTAGACCAGGAAGAGGGTGTATTGATCATATCTGCACCCTTTGACAGATTCTGGAACATAGGCATATTCACCGGCGTCCGAAAATCGTTATATTTCTTGACCTACCTGAAGGCGGCATTCGATTCTGTCGACCGAGAGGTACTGTGGCGATGCTTGGCTGTGAAGAAAATGACGAGGAAATACATTGCACTGATCAAGGTACTCTACTCTCGAAATCATGCAACCAGCCAGGCGAGAGTCTCCTCAGAGTTGTCATCTGAAGTGGTGGCAATTTGTAGTGTCCGTCAGGGATGCCCACTATCCCTATTTCTATTCAATTTCATCTTAGATGTACTAATGAACTTAATCTTAACTAATTTCATCGACTCACCAATTGACTTATTACCACCAGGGAATAATCTCATTGCCTTATAATATAGAGATGAGATCGTCCTCTCTCCTAAATGAAGATGCTGATAAAATAGAGCAGAGTCTTCTGAATATCTTGAGAAGCACTAATTTTCGAATGTTTGGCATACGATTCGCTTGTGCTGTCAATTGTAAGATGATGCTACAGGACTACGCTACTTCGACTTCCTAGCCTAAAGATAGGGAGTGAAGTGGTGACTGAGTGTATTGACCACTTCACTTATTTAGTTGGGAAGTTGCATCAGTCAACACCGGCGGGTTGATTGATGACGAAATCCCAGCACGGATGTAAAAGAATCGTTCAGCATACTCCAACTCATTCTATCTCTCGCTTGGTGATATCCGCTGACCATCTGCCAAAGGACGTGTGTACTGCACACCAGCAGTTCCCTCCGTCCTCCTTCATCACGGCTGAGAGTGAGACATGGCCGTTGAAAGTGGTAGACATAAAAAGCGTGAACGGTTAGTTGTCTTTGATCATAGGCGTCTGCATTCTATCTCCCGTGTTAGGTGGTCAGTGTAATATTATTATTGTTTCCTTTAATTTCTAGAGGAACATAGGGCTTCAACCGTGCGTCTCCATTGCGTCCGGTTCTCTGCTAGAGTCTTCACCTGGCTCCAAGTCTGCCCACACGTTTTCATCTCTTCACATCACCTCCTCCAAGTCACCCCACCTTCGCACTGACGACCAACTCACCGCTTCCCTTTCGGGTTCCACACGAGCAATGGCTTGTCTAGTGATGTCACTTGATGGATTGTTTCCTCAGAGTGTGGCCAATCCATCTCCATTTCTTCCTGCCTATTTGTTTCACAATCGGTTCCTGGTTGGTTCGCTCCCAGAGATCCCTGTTGCTGATCTTTTCTGGCCGGCTGGACATCTGATCTTGAGTATTGAGCGAAGACAACTGTTAATGAAGGTCTGTAGTTTGTTTGAGATGCTCTTTATGACGCGCAGTGCAAGTCTCTGATCCGTATAGTGAGTAGCACTGACTCCACTTCGGAGTTGAAAATCCGGATGTTATTTTTGATGCTGAGTGCTGTTGACCTTCACACAGACTTGAGAGTAGTGAAAGCTTGTCTTGCTTTTCCGATTCTTGCTTTGATATCCTCGTCAGTTCCGTTCGCCTGTAGTTGAAACAATGTTTCCCAGGTAGGTAAAGGAGGTTGTTTCTTTCAGGTTCCTCCCATTTATGCTGATTGTTGTCTGTTGTTAGTGTTGACCGGGAATCTTCATCACCTCTCTTTTCTCTATGTTCACGTGAAGTTCTTCCTTTCTTTGATGTTTCTTCTGCCAACCTGTTGCTTTTCGCTTGCATATCTTCCAGTTTGTGGGAAATCAGACATATATCATCGGCGAAGTTCAGATCCTCCAACTTTTTGTGTGGGTCCATTTTATGCCTGTTTGCTCATTGTCCGCCGCTGTTTGTGGCATTATCCAATCTACTGCAATCAGGAAAATCATTGACGATAGTATGCAGTAGTATACCGAAAACTATACATATATATATAGCTTTGTGGGTAAAATAAGTAGTATATATCTTATCTCTGAAAATGTTATTTTAAATACCACTTTATTATTAGTATGATTATTATTATTACTATTGTATATGATTTGATTTTCAGAAACAACTAGACTGTAATTTACGTATTGGAAGTGCTTATTACATAGGCACTACAATAAATCCAAATTTCAATCTTTCTACTGATGAACAGCATAAAACAATGAAAGAGGATGTTGTTGACAAAACTGCCAGATCACAAGCCTTTTTAAGAAATCCATTCAATTTGTTATTAGCTCGTGAACAAGGTGATATTGGTGCATCATCAAAATCACGTCGACTACGTTATAGAGCAACTCGTTGGATAACAGAAGGTCATCAACGATATAATGGCTTGCAAATTTATGGTAATCGATGTAAAGGTGTCCTGTATCCTGATGCACAAACATTTCAAGAGAATATTCAAGGCAGTTTATGGGCTGTTAATAGATTGCATTTAGAAAATAAATTTGAGGTATTTTTTGTTTTTGTTTGTTTGCTTGTTTTTTTGTGTATAATTAATGTACTTTGATTGGACATTAGTAACTAGTGTGACGTGTCCAGTCCCTTCTTTGGTACAGGTTTGCGATGTGGCCACCATTCTAGGTAGTTTGCCATCACGGTGCACATTGATTTGATGATATTAGATGGTTGGAGGTAATCGGCGACAGGAAGCCTTGTGTTACCTAGGTTTCGTGGTAGTTGGCACTCACCAGTCAGCAAGGCGTATCTGTCTGTCTGTTTTCAACATAGAACTTTGCACCGATGTGCAGCAGTTCAAGTCGCCCCACTCCCTCCTTGTAACACACAAAGTAAGAGAAGAAAGAAGAAATGCGAAATACAGACAGTAGACAGGGATATGAGACAAAAGGAATAGTAATATCGAAGAACATCATAGATTCATTGGAAATTATAAGTCACAAGGAGTGGATGCATCTGCGCCAGCCATTGAGAACGATAATTTTGAGCCATATCACCAATTGTCTCCAGCCTCCATTGGTTGTTACCGTCCCGAGGAAGCCAACCATGAAGATAGTCTACGCCTCCCTACGTGTCCGGCTTAAACTAACTATTGTGGATTTCATTAACTGATGAAGCCATGTTTTGGTTTGACCGCCGCTAGCTCTTTTCCAGCCTGACCCGTTGTCGAGGAAGGCGATCGATGGCTAGACATGCATGCGTAACACATGTCCTAACCATCTCAGTTGATGTAGCTTCACAGCGTCGTCGATTGATTTCCCCTCCTTACCTAGCACTCAATCGAAGCCTAACCTCAATATTGCTTACTCTTCTATGCCACTTCATACGGGAGATAGAACGCAGGCAACTATGATCGAAAACAGCTAGTCTTTTCATGTCTTCCACTCTCAATGGCCACGTCTCGCTCACAGCCATGTAGGAGAACAGAGCGGACTGCTGAGCAGTACACTCGCCCTTTGGTTGACAGCCAACTGGATATCACGTCTACTCCAGAGACGGCGTAAACTGGCATATGCGAAACTAGCCCTCTGTATTCGTGTTGAGATTTCGTCGGAGATCAACCCGTTGGGGCTGATGGTACTTCCCAAGTAAGTGAAGCGGTCAACGTGCTCTACCACTTCACTACCTATTTCTAAGCTATGATTGAGTCAATGTACTCCAGTCCTGTAGCATCATCTTACATTTGACAGAAGGAGCGAATCGCATGCCAAACATTCTTAGATTGCAGCTCAAGGTGTTCAGAAGACTCTGCATTTTGTCATCGTCTTCACCTCGAAGGACTATATCATCTGGATATTCTAAGTCAACAAGATTATTCCCTGGTAACAAGTCAATCCCTGAGTCTCTGAAGTCAGTTAGGTTTAATTCCATTAGTATATCTATCATGAAATTGAATAGAAATGGGGATAGTGGGCGTATCTGCAACCTTGAAGGAACTCATGTCCCTTTTGAGATTCGAAACCGCGTCACCCAGTTCCAGGTGCAGTCAGAGATCTAAACACTGAGCTATTCAGTAGTAAGCAAGCAAGGCTTCCTGTGGCCGATTGCCTCCAACTATCTAATATCATTATTGTACTTTTTGAATTCCATCTTTGTTAATAAAATAACTTCATATATACAGGTAAAGCGGTTTAAAAAAAGGCGGTAATATATACATATTTGATGTATCAGGCATCAGAAGGCAATTAATGCTGTTGTTGGTGTTGTAATGGTTTTTCACATTGTAATATTTATAGCTTGACTTAACTTCTTATCAGCTTAGAGTTCATCTAAAAGTTGGTCGATAGGTCTCAATTAACATTAAGAACAACAGTGGTTTTTGCAAACTAAGACGATGATACCATCATTGTTTCTTTCGTTGGCTTCTCATCAGTTGCTTACAGCCCAAAGTCATTATTTAATTATATCTACAGAAACAATTTTAACATACTTACACAGAGTTCATTTGTCAACAAAAATCAATTAATCAACATATTTTCAAAAGAATGGTTATTGAACAAAGAATACTCTTTTCGATAACTCCTTCATCATCAGGTTCTACAGTTATATATACATCATAGTGAATGAATGAATTAGTGTTATGAACAACAGTAATGTTGTTTAAATAACATCGAATCAATAATATCAATAGATCACAGTTCAGTAGCATCAACATACAGTAAACTGAATGTCATAAAAATTAGGAAAGATAATATTACAAATTCATGAATTTATAGTCTCTACTGAAGACTGACCAGGGCAGTAGTAGTGGCTGGAGTTACTTCTTTTGCATACAAAGTACTGGTTGTTTGAGGCGAATTGCAATAGCCTCTGCTGTTTGGAGCACGCGGTACCTAGATGTTTTTGTCAATTTATTTGGTACGCGGTAGATGATAGAGAAGGATTCTTCAAAGCTGACTGGCTTTGTGGCCGGTTTAGACCAGATGGTCTAATATCGAACTGTCAATGGTTTTCACTACACCTTTACTTAGCCATACTGGTAGATGCTGTCGAGCACGAAAAATCAAGTTCCTAGAGCAACCGCCAATACAACTCGCTCCACCACAAGCGCAGTTGAATTGGTAGATACAATTAGAAGTGGCTAGTCTAGGTACTTCATGCTTCATTTAGCAGAATTACCATCGGTCGTGTAGAAAATAAGACTTGTGGTTTGTCAGCAGTGAGAGTTCTTTGAACTGATTTTCTTAACCTCTTCGTAGTTATCTCGCTTGGTATATTGCCCATGAATTGTAGTCGTATGTATAATGGCTTCTTGTTTATGGATAGTGAATAGTCCTTTTCCGCTTCGTTTGTCATGTGTTTCTTGATAAATTTGTCTGGATAGCTATTTTCAATCGTGAATTTGTATTATTATCTTTCCTAATTTTTCTGACATTTCGTTTATTGTTATGTTGATGCTATTGATATTATTGAGTCGATGTTATTTAAACATTAATGTAATTCATAACACTAATTCATACATTCACTATTATGTATATATAACTGTAGAGCCTGATGATGAAGTTATCGAAAAGAGTATTCTTTGTTCAGAGCCCATTCTTTTGAAAATTTTAATGGACGTTTTTAATCAATTAATCAATACATGCATACAATAATAATATACATAATAATAATAATAAACACTTTATCTGGAAGAATAATGATCATACACAATGGAAACTTTCGACATCACGTAATCAGGTGAAAGAGAGGGTGAAAATATCCAGTTATCAGTCCAAAAAAGACTGATAACCGCTTCTTTCTGAACACATAAACCAGGTTTCAGTCACTTGGTGGAGATTGCTTCGGCAAACTTAAGGAGAATTGAAGTCTTTTTACCTATTGATAATTTTGAGTGATCTTGCAACGTCCACCTCATGACCCATGTCAAGGAGATACCTAGCGATGGCACTGTTTAAAGATTTTGTTCCCTTTAGACATAGGCTTTTTGGTATATGTTCAGAAAGTCGGAGGTATGCCCTTATTTCTGTTCTCCCAATGTAACTGCTCCCACAGATACATGTAAATTTGTATATACAGTTGGAGTTAACATGAGAAGGATATCTATCGATTCATGATTGCACCAAAGAGCAAGTTGTTCGATAGACGGGAACTAGCTTAGCTGCAGGATAGGCTCTGTTTAGTGACATCCTCAATCTTCTGTTGACAATTACTGTAATATTTTCACTTTAATAATCAAGTTGAATGTAGATGAGCTTTTTCTCCACTGTGATTTGCTTGACATTTGAGCCTTCATATCTTCCATATTTATTAATGAACTTTTGAGAGTAATCGTTGCTTTTCAACATCTTTTCGAGAAACATAAATTCCTCCTCTAATTTCTCTGTCGAGCATATTCTCCTTGCTCTATAGTATAGAGTCTTAACTAGTGCCCGTTTAAAGCTATTTGGACATACACTATTGAAAGCGTAGATATTGTCCTATCTATATAGGCTTTCGGTAAATTGACCTCTGGAGACACTACCATCTTCCAGGCGTTGCATGGCAATGCCAATGAAAGAAATGCAACTTTCCATCATTTTCATGTTCCATTGTGAATTCAATATTCGTATGTGCGTCGTTGAATAATCTAAAGAGGTAGGCAGCATGACTTTCATTGCTGCACACCACAAATGTGTCATCTGTTACACATCGACAATAAGAGAAGTTTCGTCGATTGCATGCTTCAACTTTGTTCTTTCAAGGTGGGGCATGAATATATATATATATATATATATATATATATATATATATATAGTGCATTCACTAAGATCTTATATTGATACTCTGTTTCAATTTTCTGATACTCGTAGCTAATAACCTGCCGATCGCCTCCAACCATCTAATATCATCAAATCAATGTGCACCGTGATGACGAGCTACCTAGTGGAATGGTGGCCACATTGAAAACTTGACTGATAGAATTCAGTCTGCACCAAAGAAGGGACTAGACACATCATCACACTAGTTATTAGTGTGCAATCAAAGGACTTAAATAAACAGAATTGTAAGGGAGAAAGAATAGTAACATAGAAAACTGATAAGATCTAAGGTATATCTCAAAAAGTGAATACGTCGGCACCATTGAGAGCAATTTTCAACCATACTATCAAATTGCCTCCAGTCATTGGTTCTTAGAATCTGGAGGATGTCAACCTGCCTAAATGGCTGACTGGCTGACTCACACTGAGTGTGTTAAAAGATTTTATCGACAGATTTCATGTTTTCTTTGCACTCGCCACTAGCTCTTTCCCAATCTGATCCTATATCAACCAGCTAACATTGCTTGTCGAGGAGGGTGACGGCTCGTACGTGTGTTACGCATGCCTAGACGTCACAATCGATGTGGTTTTACAACCTCGTCGATTGATTTTCCCTCCTTATCTAACCTCAATATTACTCACCTTATTACACCAACTGACATGGGGAATAGAGAGAAAAATGATGCTCAGGAAGGCTTCGTGTGCTTTTGGAAGTGTGTGGGCGGTTGTTACTTCCCGGCTGCCCACACAGTGGAAGTTTCTTGATTCTTCGGGTACCTGAAACAGAGAGAGGGTTAGTGTTTCGTGACCGCAGAGCCCAAGGGACAACTGCTTGAGGCTGGCCACACACGGCCTGTATGAACTGGTTTGTTGGTTTGGTTCCGTATTAGTAAACCTACCGCCGGTTACAGACCACCGTAGGGTAAGTCGGGGTGTACAATTTTTGGGGTCGACTTTTTCTATCCCTCTCTCTCTCCAGAGTGGAGAGGCAACATAGCTGGCTGGCATGCTGGGCATCTGAGAGAAACACCTCACTGCTGTTACACTCCTGTTCCCCAGCAGTACGACTTCGCCCACAGAACTCCCAGAAAGATTCTTACACTATGCCGGTAACTGCTTTTAGTCTTATTACTATCCTAACAACCTTGTGGCATGGTAGAACCTGCAGGAACATTGGTTACAGCCAATGTAGCTTGTTGGGTCATCGCGATGTGCAAGCCCGACCATCACGTCAAGGTAGCAGCTATCGGTCGGGTGGGGAATAGAGGACGGACGCTTATGATCAAAGGCAACTAGCGTTATCATATCTCCCCCAACTATCAATCGCCATGTATCTCACAACCATAAAGGAGGATGGAGTAAACAGTTGCTGGGCAGTAACACATTCTTTAATCGACACCTGAATATCACAGGATCCGTTGCCTTTTCGATGTCGATGAAGTTGAGGTAGACGTTTGACTACCATTCTGTTCTAGTCTGTGTTCGATGACGATGATTAGAGTTACAATCTGATCAGCACATGATTTGCCTTACCTGAATCCAGCTTGTTCTGGTGGGTGGAGTTCTGTATCCAAAGGGGTCCTTTATTCTCTCCAGAATGATGCGACTTAGTATTTTACTTGGCGTGAACAAGAGCATGATTCCACGCCAGTCCTTGCAGAGGCTTAATTCGCCCTTCTTTGGCAGCTTGACAAGGTAGCCTTTCTTCCAGTCAGTAGGCACCTTCCTTTCCTTCCAAACTTGCACTAATGGCGTCAGTATATCTCTCGAAGTCTCTGTGTCCTCTTCGGGTTAGGGAATTCCGTCTGGTCCTACTGCCTTTCCCACTAGACTTCACTAGCTTGATCGCATTCAGGATTTCTGCTATCTTTGGAGGATTGGTCTCTACCGGCAGATAGTTCTGTGAGTGCTGTTGGGTGGTATTTCTGGGAGGGTTTCAGGTAATGAATACATATTTTTAACCGCATTAAAATTTGGCTAGGTCAGCGAACAATAAATCGTTCTGATTGGTTGGCGATTGGCTTAGGGGTTAAGCAATGAGACAAAAATTTGTCCAATGAGGTTATTCCATGTCCACAGTGTAAACTAGATCCAGATTTGAGGAATAAACACTTCAACCTTTGCAGACATTGGTAACTTTAAGTGTTGATTTCAATTTCGGCCACTTCGTATCAATCTGCATGTATTATATATATGTATACTACTGATAAATCTTGTCAGTAGCACACCACAAATTTTGTTTTTCCCGTCCACTAATTAAAATTGGACCGAAATATTCCTCCTCTATTGACGTGTCGGCTCCTAGTACAGACGATTCAACAATGTCTGAAGAATAATACGATGTTCGAAACGATGAGTCCCGACCGAAAGCTGCTACCTTGACGTGGTGGTCGGGCTTGAACACCGCAATGACCCAAAAAGCTATACTGGCTGAGACTTATGTCGCTTGGGGTCCTACCATGCCAGAAAGGTTGTTTGGATAGCGGTTAGAAAAAAAGCAGTTACCCAACCCAATCCTATGACTCAAAATAAATCACAAAATATCATGCCGGATCGGTCGGGGCCCGGATTAACAACGACCGCGCTTCCTGCTGCCGTGTCACAGGGTAGAAGTGATAAATATGCTACTGAGACACACCGAATGAAAAAGAACAAACAAAAACAGGCCGCGTGTGACCGGCCTCAAGCAGTTGTCCCCTGGGCTCTGCGGTCACGCAACCAACTTCCACAGTAACAATCGCCCTCACAATCCGAAGTGCACACGAAACCTCTCTAATCCGGGTTTCACAACTCAGTGGGAACATTTATACTCACAGGTGCATCCAGTTGATGAGTCCCAAATAGGGTGAAATGCACATCTGGGATTCCACTGCTAATCCCTAGCAATCAGCTAATTTTTGAAATCAGTTGGGAATATTTTTCTGCCAATTTAATTAGACCATTTCACTTATTGATTTTCGTGAGTAACTAGTAGATGATTTCCCTTGTTTTAATATGGAGAGTGTTCACTTTGATATTTTGATGACCAGTATTACTATTATTATCATCTTTCTTTCTTTCTTCTTTTTATTACAGTGTCACCATGGTTGTGTGAATGCTTTGAATTTCAATTCAAGAGGAAATTTAATTGCCTCTGGATCTGATGATTTAAGAGTTGTTATAACAAATTGGATGACCGGTGAACAAATGTGGAATTATCGTACAGGTCATAGTATGAATATATTTCATGTAAGTTAGTTAGTTGTATGATTTTTAGTGATATAAGTATGAAGTAGAGATTAATTTATTGTACAATAATATGGCGGCTTCCTTGACTCGGTAGGAATTAGTGGAATGATAACTCTTTGACGTTCGAAATGACGAGTATTGTGTTCATTTACTGGGATGAAAAGACATCCAGATAACGAATTCTTAGTCAGTGGAACAAATTGTGCGTCCTAGATTCCACTGGTGGTCAGCACAATGATATGCACCTTCTTTCTTGTTCAGCACAAATGTTTATGTATCATGTAAGATTTCAAGATTATTCTCTTAACTTGCAGATAGACTAAAATACGCTTAGGATTAACACACTTTGTCTCATTATACTTAGCTAAAACTGAGTATGAACATCGTAGTTTATAAAAAACGGTAGTGAATACAAAATGGTGACGTAATCGTTATAAGTTGGATCACAAATTGATATCACTTACAAAACCATTGGAAGTAAGAAGGACTCTTCGTCAGTACACATCCACTACCAGACTTCGAATCCAGGAGCTTCCGGTTACAAGGCGAGTTCGCAGGCCATTAAGCCACCGACCATTTGATCGGGTTCTAGCTCGCGTTGTAACCAGAAGCTCCTGGGTTCGAACCCTGGCGGTGGGTGGGTACTGATGAACAGCCCCAAACTAGGCTGACGAAACACATGCTCAATACTCCCTGCAGGTTTTCCAATAGTTCTCTAACCGATTTCAGCTCATGATGAAGTCCTGTAACCGATAAATCAAATCCTTACAAACCAATTTTTTTTCCTTCACGTGCCTCAGTGGAACATAGGGCTTCAAGCTAGAGGCTTGAAGTTTCTGTAGCAGTGTTTTATTTTTACAGGATGGGGTTGCTAGCCTCATGCCCAACCTTTCCTCTTTACCAGCTTTTTTACTTCTGGTTTAGCGAGGTAAAGGGGTGTGCCGGCTGGGGATCGAACCCCGGACCATGTGTGCATGGTCGGCGAGCGTCCTAACCGCTATGCCACCGACGCACTTACAAACCAATACTTGAATATTGTCATTATGTTTGGTTAAAGCATGAGTAACAAGTTGAGTAGGATAACATGATGTTGTAATTATGTGTATACATTTATCCCACCTATTACATAATCATGTATTTTGCTTTATAAGAGCACACAATTCCTGGCAAAATGATCTGTTCTCTCAGCAAATTCACTCTAAAGCTGTGAAGTCATTTAGCTGTTCTGTGTACAATACTATTTGACAACACAAACGTCGGAGGTTATCGTCAATTTTTAACAAAATACGTCAAAGTGTCTGAGAAGTCACAGTGTATGTAAAAATTGTGAATAACCTTATGTAATCGAGAGGGCTGACTGACTGACTGGTTTCAACGTGGAACTTTTCACTGATGTGCAGCAGTTCCAATGGCCACACTTCCTTCTTGTAACACGCAAAGCAAGAGAAGAGAGTGAAGACATTTAAAAGAGAGATAATAAACAGAAATATTAGGCAAAACGAATAGTGATATGGAAGAACAAAAGAATTTTATTTGATATTTTAAATCACAAGGAGTGGAAGCATCTGCGCCAGCCATTGAGAAGGAGGATTTTGAGCCATATCACCGATTAACTCCAGCTATCATTGGTTTTCACCATCCTGCGAACCCCAACCAACCAATGATGCAATCTACACCTCCGTACGTGGCTGGCTGGTTGGCTGACTTAAACTAACTGGTGTAGATTTCGTCGATTGATGAAGCCATGTTTTAGTTTGGCCACCACTAGAAGCTCTTTACCAACCTTATCCATCCCATGTCATTCAGCTAACACTGCCTATCGAAGTAGGCGATCGATGCCTAGGTATAAATGAGTAACAAATGTCCTAACCATCTCACTCAATCGATGCAGCTGCTCGTCAATTGTGGCTTTGTGGCCGTTTTGCACCAGATGGTCCAATATCGAACTGTTAATCGTTTTAACTACACCTTTACTTAGCCATACTGGGATATGTTCTCAAGCACGAAAAATCAAGTTCCTAGAGCAACGGCCGATATAACTCGCCCCACAAGCAAAAGCAGTTTTCAAATGATTTCAAGATCAACGAAATCGAACGTTGTTTCTTTTTTTTCAAAGACGACCAGTCTATACTGCTCTGTTCACAATTTAATTCGTACACGATTTGCTTTTCGTGATTCCCGTATATTCCGGTTGAAGTTTTGGCATCCAAGGGATCATTTTATTCTCTCTCTCTCTCTATCTCTAGGATGATGCGAATTAATATTTTGCCCCAGAGTGACTAACAGTATGATTCTGTGTCATTTCTGGTAAATGCTTAAGCCATCCTTTTTTAGTAGTAGTAGTTCAATACACAATAGCCCTTCTTTCAATTTCAATATCTTGTTAAACTATCACTGCATAAGCACATGCTTGAAAATTATTTGAACAAATGACCAAGTTAATTGTAGGTGGTTTATAAACACTATTACACTCTTCAAGTCTTCTTTGTAGAAGGATAGACGGCAACTCTAAACAGTAGGAACCCGAAACGAAACGACCTACGAATGCACAAATAACCTTGTCAAGGACCAATCAGAAGGCTAAAAAAAGACGACAATAGTCGTCCCAGGCAGCACTAAGCGCTAGATAATAGGCAATAATACACATGTCCTGCGCTTAGGGGTCGCCTCAATATGTCCTTGCTGGAAAAAACAGTCACCTGATCGGTTACTCAAGGTTATTTGTGCGTTCGTAGGTCGATTCGTTTTGGGTTCCTATTGTTTAGAGTTGCCGGATAGACACCTCTGAGTAGAATTCACCATCACAGACTCAGTGGATTTTTATCGTATGGTGCTAGTAACTAGCCCCAAAACTTTGACTCTATGACTAGAGCGTTAACCCATCGCCTATCCCTTTTCCATTGCATTCGCTTTCATCGCCCATTATTGTTAGCGGTCATTGTGGAGAGACTTTTGGTCAGTTCGCCCTTTGGACAGCTTTCTGTGCTTATCATGTTAGCTAGCAGCAGCCCATCGTAATAAGTCCCTTTGCATCTGTCAATTCATAATGAAGTCGCTGAAATTCACTGACAGCAGCAGTAGCAGCAGCCTTTACTTTCAAGCTGTCAATAGTATTTACCATTGTTTCTTTAGTAGGACTATATTATAACGCCAGATTTTATGAGAAAGAGTACTGCTTTATGCTTTCATCGCATATCCGGTTTCGTGGCTACTTGTCCTCTACATTCGTTTTAGTTATGGGTGTATGCACATACGCAGACTGGTACATGATATCGGAGTTAGTTACCTTAATACGATAATGGGATTCCTAAAATTTTATGAACACTTTAAGCAATAAAATATGCTTAAAAAACATCAGCAATCAATGAACAATACTGTGTAACGACAGAAAACACGGACCAAGCAACAGATCGTTTATTGAAGAAATCAACAGATATTTATAGATTTTTATGTACATTATTATTATTAGCGATATTATTAGCAGAGAAACAGCGTCTTCTGATTGGTTGTTTTCTCGCTGAGGGTTAATCTGTCATCTCTTTGTAGCCGTTTCCTTGAAGGTCAGACAATATATGTCTGCGAATTGTGTCCGCCCACGCAAAGTCTTTGTTCTTGTTCTTTTCTCATCACCAAGATTTGGGACGTAAACACTGACGCAAATTGTTGGTATTAGATGGTTGGAGGCAATCGGCAGGAAGCCTTGGACCTAGGTTTCGTGCTAGTTGGCACTCATCAGCAAGGCGTATCTGCAACCTTGAAGGATGATATTGCAAACATGACTGATAGAATTCAGTCTGCACCGAAGATAGGACTAGACACATTACACTAGTTACTGACTATTGTGCAATCAAAAACTGACGTAAATTGGTGTCTACCGATTTCGGCTAGCAGACAGCAGCTCTCACCACAACTGTATCGTACGGTTATATCACTCTGTATATATTTGAAATTAGCTCTAGCTAGGAGTGGACAGTTTTCTGAACAGAATTGTAAAAGACGATCAGCATTATCGATTCTTTAGTATAAGACTGTGAGAATATTGTTTTAATAAACTTTTTGCACTGGACCAACTCTTCTCCGTTAACATTGTAATCATCTGTTAAGATGGTTATATCAAGACATTTTGCTTTTACCAGCCTACTAGATAGCTTTTGATAAAATTCATCTTTTACTTCATCTGAAGTACAGTCGATTGGTGATGCGTCAACGGAGAGAATATAAAGTGCCACTGACAAGTGGTCGTATCACAGTCTTCTTTTTCATACATCCTTTCAGCTGGACAGTACACATATAATTGTCTATTGGTATCCAGTGGAGAGTAGTGAGTGAGTTTTCGCCCGCCCTAGTTGCTCATAGCTCTTCCCCCCCCCTACATGACCTAAGTCCACGCGAACTAGCCAAAGCATCTTGTGAACCTATTGGATGAATTTGTAGATTCATTGTATCGACCAGATAGGGTTAAATGTGAACAGTCACACTTGGGTGTGTTCTTTATGCATCTCTGAGACACAACAAACATCCAAATGCTCAAGATACCAGAGTTTGACTAGTGAAATCTGCTTTCAGATTTGAAATAAGGTTCAGAATTTAGCAGAGTGGTTTTAAAAGACTGAGAGGGGGTGGGTTGTTTTGGTGAATACCTGCTTCAGGTGAATTACACAGTAGGGTAACAGTGAAGAGTCACCATAGTGTGTTAATGACATTGGTAAATGGGTTTGAAGTTATATTACTTCATATATGTGCATAATTTAAATGACATCTCTCTTATGCATGTGTTTGTTTTAACTTTTTTTTCAGGTGAAATTTATCCCAGAATCAAATGATTTAAAAATTGTTTCATGTGCTTGTGATTCAGAGGTTAGATTAGCCCTGCTGTCGCCTGCAGGCGGTTTAGCCGGTCCTACTCGGCTCTTGGCAAAGCATACTCGTGCGTGTCATAAATTATCTATTCCCGAAGGTGAACCAAATATTGTCCTATCAGCTGGTGCAGATGGACGAGTATTTTCAAGTGATGTGAGAACTTCAGTGGCTCACAAGTAATATATATATATATTTATGCATAGGACATAGTATATGCTAATTTTGACTTTCATATACTAGTTAAAAATGTCCATTAAATTTTTTTTCAAAATAGTGTTTCCTGAACAAGGAATATTCTTCCGATAACCCCTTCATCATTAGGTTCTACAGTTATATATATACATAATAGTGAATAAATGAATTAGTGTTATGAACAACAGTAATGTTGTTTAAATAACATCGAATCAATAATAATATCAGTTGATTACAGTTTGACAGCATCACAATAACAATACACACTGAATAGGAAAGATAATGGTACGAATTCATGAATTTATAGTCTCTACTGAAGACTGACCAGGGCAGTAGTAGTGGCCAGAGTTACTTCTTTTGCGTACAAAGTACTGGTTGTTTGAGGCGAATTGCAATGGCCTCTACTGTTTGGAGCATGCGTTACCTAGATGTTTTTGACAATTTATTTGGTACCCGGTAGATGATAGAGAAGGATTCTTCAAAGCTGACTAGCTTTGTGGCTAGTTGAGAGCAGATGGTCTAATATCGAACTGTTAATGGTTTTCACTACACCTTTACTTAGCCATACTGGGAGATGCTGTCGAGCACAAAAAATCAAGTTCCTAGAGCAACGGCCGATATAACTCTCTCCACCACAAGCTGAGTTGAATTGGTAGATACAATTAGAAGTAGCTAGTCTAGGTACTTCATCTTTCAATCGAGGAATCACTATCGGTCGTGTAGAAAATAAGACTTGTAGTTTGCCAGCATTAAAAGTTCTTTGAACTGATTTTCTTAACCTCTTCGTAATTATTTCGTTTGGTATATCGTCTTTGAATTGCAGTCGTATGTATAATGGCTTCTTGTTTATGGATAGTGAATAGTCCTTTTCTGCTTTCTTATCATATGTTTCCTAATAAATTTGTCAGGATAGTTATTTTCAATGAAGGTATGATAAACAATCCTTAGTTCATCTGTAATGACCTCTTCTGAGCATATAGCTGTAACTCTGTGGCTTAGGGTCTTTATTAAATTTCTTTTGTACTGGAGAGAAATGAAGCTTTGAAAATGTGTATATTGTCCTGTCCATGTACTTTTCCAATGCAAATTTCCCACTATATTACCATTTGGTTTTCTTGTAAGGAGGACATCATCTAGGAAGGTAATTCTATTTTGGGATTTCTCTTCACATGTGAATTTCATAGCAGAATGTACTGCATTGAATTGAGTTGTTGTTGTCTTCCTATCTGAATCATTATCACAAAGAATAAAGATGACATCCATATAATACCGACAATAAAATCAAAATTTTCTTATAAGGTGGTTGTTCAAAGGTCCAATTTTCTAGTTTACTTGGGAAGAAATCAGCCAAAATGGGACCCGACGCAAAGCCTATTGTCACTCCGTGCAGTTGTCTGTAAAGTGTGTGATGTGATTGAGAAGTTATTCTTGGTGCTTATCTCATCTTGATTGTGAGTGAATGTGCAATTTTTGAATGAATCAAGCAATTCGTTGGGGTTTTTTTATCGAAAGGAGAGAAACAAAATTAATATGTGTAATTTTGTATATCTTCACACTATCCAGACGTTGCGTCGGTGGTATAGCGGTTAGAACGCTCGCCGACCATGCACATGGTCCGGGGTTCGATCCCCGGCCGACGCACTCCTTTACCTCGCTAATCCAGAAATAATGCTGGTAAAGAGGAAAGGTTGGGCATGAGGCCAGCAACCCCATCCTGTAAAATAAACACTGCTACAGAAACTTCAAGCCACTAGCTTGAAGCCCTATGTTCCACTGGGGAACGTGAAGGAATAAAAAAAAAATCCAGACGTAATATTGTCATTTCCCAGTGCATATTTAACCGTTTAAATGTATGTGTAGGCATCACATTCTACATTAGGGAGAGAGAGGACCCATCGATCTCTCGAGATCAGAGCAGCTGCTTCGCAGCCTTATCGATTGATATCCCCTCTCCACCTAGCATTCGACCGAAGCCTAACCTTAATATTGCTCACCCTGCTGAACCGACCACTTAACACGAGAGACAGAATGCAGGCAAACATTTCCCGCCTACGAAGATGATAGGTAGTCATGCGTAACATATGCTGTGGCTAGTGAACATCAGATCAATTATCAAGTGTTTTTTTACGCGATTTGATTGGTTACAGGTCTTATCAAGAGTTGAAATTAGTGAGAGAACTATTAAAAAAAACCAGCAAGAAATACTGAACTTTTGTTTCGTTCTAGTTTGTGATTCTTTGACCCTATCCACCTACTGTGATTCGATCTTGGTACCTTCCGGTCATGTGACGAGCTCATAAACCATTCAGCTATTGAGATTCGACTCAATGGCTCATGAATCCCAAGTTCCGCGAATTCGCGATATATGCAGCTCAAACCGGGGCAGCCAGTGTCATAGACGATTAACTGTTCAAATGCGTATCACTTGATAATTAATCTGATGCTTATTAGCCTCTGGTTCTACATAGGAAATAGTAATCACCCATACGCTTCCATTAGCACACAAAGACTAAGTCGATGATATTATGATAATCACCCCCTCTGTGTGTGTATGTGTGTTTGTCGTCTGAGTGACCTGAGTAGATTACTGACTCTTCAGGTAAGGATTTCGGAGAATTCACTTCCTTTCTATATGCTCTCATGGATTCTTAACAGTTATCTACCATAACTCAATTATTCTGCAATGTAAGCGGCTTTTTCAACCTCAGCCGTTATATAGCCAGACATTTCCATGCCCACCCCACCCCCATGTTGCTTACTTTGGCTTTCATCGGATCAAACTTCTCCACATCGCAGAAGCAATGGCAATTCATCTGCTAAATCCTGAACTCTGCATACAAAAGAAATTCGTTCATTCATTAAATCTACAATGGACGTAATCTTTCTTAATTTCAGTCTTACTAATTGTATTATTTTGTCTTTTGCATTTTATTATTTCACATCTTCATTTATATTATTCTCTACCCCACCCTTTTGTAATCTCTACCCTCATTAACAATGTTGCTAACTTGACCCACGTCCAATTTCTAGTCAACTATGTTACGTCATCCGATTAACTTACTTATTTTCAACTGTATTATCTCTGCCCCTACCCTTGTTTAATTTTAACCACCATTCACTAACATTGTCGCCAACCGGACCTACTCTGAATTCTACTCAACTGTATTACGTCATCCAATCCACTTAATCAAGTCTATTTTATTTTCTATCTTAACGTTTGTCTCCAAGCCAAATAATACTTATATTACATAAATATCTAAACTTTATAAATCTAATGTACACACACACACAAGCAAAATTGTATATATATGCGATTGTACAGCTCAGTGAATGAATTCGCTGAAAAGAGTCTCTTCGCTGAACGCCTTCTTTTCTTTCATCGAGTTCTTTCGAGTCATCTGTCTCCTCGAATTTGAGGAGTCCTCCTAAGATAAATTTGAGAATAAAAGATGCACTGCATGCAGAACTCCGCCACCCACTGAAACAAGCTGGATTCAGGTAAGGCAAATCATATGCTCATGAAGTTGCAACTCTACACATCGTCATCACAGAACAAAGCCAAGAAAAGAATGGCAGTCAATCCTGTCCCCACCTCAACTTCATCGACATCGAAAAGGCTTTGGACAACGTTGAACGAGAAGTAATTTGGAAACTACTTCAACACTTTATCAACCTCATTCAACAGCTGGCTATATGACAGTGCCACGTATCAGGGGATCCACAACGGAAAACTCAGTGAGGCGTTCGAAGTGAATAAAGGTGTAAGACAAGGCTGGCTACTTATTATCACCTACGATGATATTCTTAATTGTGGTGGACGGGATTATGAGTTAGACTGTGGGGAGCGAGAAGGTAGGATTACACTGGACCACCGATAAGAAAGACTCTCGAAGATCTGGATTCTGCACTTGGATGATTTATGTCTAATGTCAAACAAAATCGAAGACTTGCAGGTAGGTGAAAACCAACAAACTGGCTGAAGAGGTAGGCGTCGAAGACAGGAATCACTCCAGGTGAACACAGAGAAGACGGAGATGATGAAGATAACCAACCAACAGCAACAACAACAGGCAGCACCAATCACCATCAACGGGAGAGATTTAACAGAGGTTACCTCCTTCACTTATCTGGTTAGGAAGCATGATGTCAACCATATACACATGGCACGGATGAAGATATCAAAGCAGGCAAGAATCGGAAAGGTAAGGCAAGATACGTCTTCATCAACCTGAAACCAGTTTGGAAATCTTCTGCACTGCACTCAGTCAGCATAAAGAACAGAATTCAGATTTTCAACACATTTGTGAAGTTGGTCACTTCATAAATGGGTCAGATACTGGACCAGCGTCTAACGAAAAGCATTTCCAACAGGCTACAGCAAACTTTTATCAACAGCGGCTTTCACTGACTTCATACTGAAGATCAAATGACCGGCTAACCAAAAAGAATTATTATTATTATTGTTTTCTTTAATTCCTAGAGGAACATACGGCTTCAGCCGTGCGTCTCCATTGCGTTTGGTTCTCTGCTAGAGTCTTCACCTGGCACCAAGTCTGCCCACACGTTTTCATCTCCTCTTCACATCACCTCCTCCAAGTCACCCTCACCTTTGCACTGACGACCGACTCGCCGCTTCCCTTTCGGGTTCCACTCGAGCAATGGTTTGTCTAGTGATGTCATTTGATGGATTGTTTCCTCAGAGTGTGGCCAATCCATCTCCATTTCTTCCCTCCTATTTGTTTCACAATCGGTTCCTGGTTGGTTCGCTTCCAGAGATCCCTGTTGCTGATCTTTTCTGGCCGGCTGGCCATCTGATCTTGAGCAGTATTGAGCGAAGACAACTGTTAATGAAGGTGTGTAGTTTGTTTGACATGCTGTTTATGACGCGCAGTGCAAGTCTCTGATCCGTATAGTAGCACTGACTGACGTCACATTGGAGTTGAAAATCTGGATGTTATTTTTGATGCTGATTGCTGTTGACATCCACAAAAACTTGAGAGTAGTGAAAGCTTGTCTTGCTTTTCCGATTCTTGCTTTGATATCCTCGTCAGTTCCGTTCGCCTGTAGTTGAAACAATGTTTCCCAGGTAGGTAAAAGAGGTTGTTTTTTTTCAGGTTACTTCCGTTTATGCTGATCGTTTTCTGTTTTTGTTGCTGCTGCTGTTGGTGTTGGCCAGGAATCATCACCTCTCTTTTCTCTATGTTCACCTGAAGTCCTATCTTCGATGCTTCTTCTGCGAACTTGTTGCTTTTCGCTTGCATATCTTCCAGTTTGTGGGAAATCAGACATATATCATCGGCGTAGTCCAGATCCTCCAAGTTTTTTGTATGAGTCCATTTTATGCCTGTCTCCTCATTGCCTGCTGTTTGTCGCATTATCCAGTCTACTGCAATCAGGAAAATCATTGGCGATAGTAGTCAGCTAGCTTGTCTTACTCCTGTCCTCACTTTGAAGGGTTCCGTAAGTTTCCCGTTGTGGATTACTTGGCATGCAGCATTGTCGTACAGCTGATGGATGAGATGTATAATTGTCAGTGGCACCCCATAGTAGCGTAGTAGTTTCCAAATCACCTCTCGATCGACGTTGTCAAAGGCCTTTTCAAAGTCGATGAAGTTGATATAGAGAGGTGACTGTCATTCCAAAAAGAATTAGCAACACGAAACTCTGCAGTGGATCCGATCGCTCAACAAATATGTTGGAGTAAAAGGTGATGGATTGGAAGTAAGCTGAGGAGACCGTCGAATGATATCGTGTGCAATGCAGGTCATCGCTGGAGTGGAATACGAATGAGAAGCGAGGGTGACATGGAGGAGATCGTGTGGTGAGGAGTAGATGAGAGATTATGGGCAATCGTTGACCGAGATGATAAGGACAACAGAAAATAGAAGAAAATGGAGATGTGTTGTTGTGAAGCTCTCTATGTTCCACTAGGAACCCAAGGGAATAATAATAATATTAATAATCTTAAGATTAGTTCATTTTTCCTGTGCTCTAAAGTTTCACTGGTGATTTGGTTGCTAGTCTTCAGGCGCAATCTTCTTTTTCTTTTCTTTTCTGAGTCTTCTGAACACCTTGAGCTGCGATCTTCGTATGTTTGACATGTGATTCGCCCCTGTAAAATGTAAGATGATGTTGCAGGATTGGACTACACCGACCCCTAGATTAGAAATAGGAAGTGAAGTGGTAGAGCACGTTGACCTTGGATATCCGACTATCGACCGAAAAGCGTGTGTACTGCTCAACAGTCCGCTCCGTCCTCCTTTACGGGTGTGAGACGTGGCCAATGAGAGCGGAAGACATGAAAAGTTTAGCTAGCTTTCTTCGATCATAGGTGTCTGCGTTCTATCTCCCGTGTGAAGTGGCATAATAAGGTGAGCAATATTGAGGTTAGGCGTCGAGTGCTAGGTAGGTGGGGGGGAAATCAATCGACGAGACTGTGAAATTACATCGACTGAGATGGTGAGGACATGTGTTACGTATACCTAGTCATCGCCTTCCTCGACAATGGGCAATGTTAGCTGATATAGGGTCAGGCTGGAAAAGAGCCAGCGGTGGTCAAACCAAAACATGGCATCAGTCAATGAAATCTACAACAGTTAGTCTAAACCCCGTAGGAAGATGTAGACTTCCTGACTGGTTGGGGTCCTCGGGATGGTAAAAAGCAATGGTTGGAAACAATTGGTGACATGGCTCAAAATCGTTGTCAATGGCACAGATGCATCCACTCCTTGTGATTTATGATTTCCAATTAAACTGTTTTGTTCTTCGTTATTACAATTCCTTTGTCTCAGACCTCTGTTTACTGTCTATATTATGCATTTCTCCTACTTTCTTCTCTTCTTTTGTGTGCTACAAGGAGGGTGTGTCGCGACTTGAACTGGCGCACATATGTGCAAAGTTCTATGTCGAAAACCGACCGACCGACCGACCTTTCCTTGGCTAGGCTAAGGTTCTCCAGCTGGTAAACTAGGGGAGGTTTAAACTTACTCCAGATAAAATAAATATCTCCATTATAAGGTTATACTCTACCATAGTGACCACGTTTTATACTTAAATCAATAAAAAATAAATATCTCTTTTTTTTGTAATCTTCATTACAGGATACTTCATTTAGCATATTCTGAATTTTTCTCCATTGCTTCAAATCCCGTACGCTCACATGAATTCGCATTGTGTGGTAGATCTGAATCAGTTGTACGGTAAGTAGTTTATTTTGTTGTTTTATGATGAAATGTATGTACTCCATGTCAGGAAAATATTTTTACTAGAGGGATAATTAACTCTGGAGATGTTTCTAAGCAGTTAGGGGAATGTCATTGAAAGCACTGGGTTCGAGCCTCGCTGAGAACATCATCACTCATTGGGGGGGAATGCAGGCATATCCAGATGACGAGTCCCAAACGGGACGAAATGCGCATCTTGGTGGATTCCACTGCTAGTCACCATCCACCAATTAAATTTCTGTGAATAATTCAGGATTTTTAAAGCAGTTTAGCTGTTTGAACTATAGTTGGTCTGGTTGCTTGGCGTCAATAGTGTGAGACTTATGCGCTGTGATTGGACACTGGATAATAACTCTAGTGTCATGCATGCGCCTAGTTTCCTTCTTTGGGTTCTGACCAAATGCTGACCACCATGTCTTGTGGCTTTCCATCACAGTGCATTCTAAATTGTTGTTATTAAATGGTTGTAGGCAATTGGAAGTTGGCATTCACTAGTAGTCAACAAGGTGTGTCTGTTATCTTAAAGTAACCCATGTGCGCCGTCTGAGGTCACACAGAGTTGCAGTCAGAGACATTACCAATGAGCTGTTTTGCCTTGCGATTAACCTCCTGTAGTACTGTATTGGATACTTGAATTGGGACACCAGGTAGCACAACTGGTGTCATGCGTCTAGTCCTTTGTTTAGTGCAAACCCGAATTCTATCAGTTAAGTGTGCAGTGTTTTGGCTCGCCATCATAGCGTACTCTAAATTGTTGCTATTAGATAGGTGACATGGGTTTAAATCTTAGAAAGAGGGACATGGGCTCCTTCAAGATTGCAAATATGCCTTACTGACGAGTGGTGACAAGTACCAAACTCAGGTAGGTGAAAAAAGGCTTCCTACTGATTGCCTCCAACCATGTAATGAGTCTTATGTGTTTAGTATCAAACTATGACGGTAAGAAAAGCCTTTTCCTATCTTCTTCATCGTTGTTGCATTCTATCAGGTTAATGGAGTTTTATAAACACGCTATGATTATCACTATTTGTCATCATGTATGTACTTTGGTAGAAAGAAACATTCGAGAGGGAGTTTATGAAACCAAAGTCTTATTCATTGGTATACAGAATGATAAGAGTGTTAGTCTTCAGGGTCCTACAAGGGCTCAGTGGTTTACGAGCTTGACTTGTAACTGAAAAGTCCTAGGTTCGAAACCCGGTGGGTGCGTGCTTGCTGACGATGAAGTCCCAAAGTAGGCCGAAACAGCTGTCCAGTACTCTCTGGTTTTAATGCATCAGTGGTTCAGCCGTAGAACCACTCGTCACCCATGCAACATGTGGTTCGAGGTCCGGTCCTCGACCGACACACCCGTTTACCTCGCTTAGCTGGTATTATGCCAGTCCGGTAGAGAAGGAAGGTTGGGTGTGAGGCTAGCAACCCCATCCTGTTAAAACTCAACTGCTACGGAAACTTCAAGCCTCCAGCTTGAAGCCCTATATTCCAATAGGTAATTAAAGGAATAAAAATGTGGTTACTTACAGAAAGGTTGAGTATCCTGTGTATAATTGTGCACCATCCTACTTCACAGTTATGATATATTACTACTGAAAGCAGAAGACATGCATAATGCGTCTTCTTTTTGTTGTTATTGGCTTCAAATTAAACTAAAGGATAGGTGAAGTTCGGAATTTAGATGGTTAGAGTGTTGAACAAAGAAGGTAAGCAATTCTATAAGGTTGTCAGTCTTTATTCACTGAACTAGTTGGGGCAACCGGTATATATATATATATATATATGGAGAGCTAGCTCCATCCCCTCAACAGGATCATATTTGACACAGAGATTACTAATGTAGTCGAAACAAAACATGACAGTTGACCATGGAGTTTCTAACTGTGACTGTTTTTAGAATATTTTGACTGTGATCGTTAGGATTATATAATGGGGTGAGACAGGGTGAGAGTATTAAAAAGTAATATAGTTAGGTGGAGAGAGATGTTAATCACTGAAGCTTTGTTGATCGATTCAACACCGCACAACACGTGCAATCGGAATGATGCAATGCCTATACGGGAGATATGGTAATTGGCAACAAATAACAATGGGAAGTTGGAGAGATAGAAAGAGAGAAAAATCTACAAGATAAATTCTGAAACTGTGTGACTAAATTGATATGATTATGAGCCGTAATAATTTCTACTCGAAACCTTGTCATCCAGTTGTTAATACTGCATCATCACTGTATGATTATTAAAATAAACTTATCTAATATGGAATGTTAAGCAGAAATTTGAATGTGTGCTTTCCAGACACTTTATCTCTACTAATTAATATTGAATGCATATTGTTACCGTCAAACTGGTTTGTGCAAACTTTATTTTCATTGCAAAGATTAAGATTAGAAGTTAATTGGTGTATGATGACTAGCAGTGGAATCCAGGCTGCAAATACAGGTACATCTAGCTGACGAGTCCCAAATAGGACGAAATGCAAATTGAAATGTTTGGTTATTTTTACGACTTCATGCCAATCTCATCAGCTGATGAAATACCAACTGTGTGTTTCCAGTTTGAGACTCTTCTACAGGGCTTTGTGGTTCCCAATTGTTCTCCAACTGATGTCAGTTCTTGACGAAATCTTCCTAGAATGCCATCTAGTAATTGGTATGTCCAGTAGATTGTCGTATTCCTAAAATGTTTTACCTATGAACAGGTTATTATTATTATTCCCTTGTGTTCTGGGGGAAGCACAGGGCTTCAACAACACATCTCTATTTCAATTCTGTTCCCTGCAATCCTCTCTAGCTGTCTATACTATTGTCCATGATTCCTCATCTTGGCATCATACAATCCCCCTTATGTCACCCTTGGACATACGCCCGGTTCGTTTTTTCGCATTCACATTCACGTTACACTCGAGCGATGGCCTAGTATGCGATTTTACTCAACTGTTCGAACCATCTCTCTTGACATATTCATTGGACAATAAATTCGTGGTTGGTTCATTCCGAGAGTTCCTTGTTTCTAATTCTTTCTAACCAGCTGGCCATTTGATCTTCAATATGGAGTCAGGGGAGGTAGCTGTTGACGAAATTGTAAAACCTGCTTGAAACGCTTTTTGTGATACGTTCTCCAAGTTACTGAACCACACTGTCTTTCTGGCTGTTTTCAACATAGAACTTTGCAACGATGTGCAGCAGTTCAAGTTGCCACACTCCCTCCTTGTAGCACACAAAGGAAGAGAAGAAAGTAGAAGAAATGCAAAGTAGAAACAGTAAATAGAGATAGACAAAAAGAATGGTAATATCGAAGAACAATATAGTTTCAATGGAAATTATAAGTCACAAGGAGTGGATATAAATGCGCTAGTTATTGAGAACGAGGATTTTGAGCCATATCACCGATTGCCTCCAGCCGTCATTGGTTTTTGCAGTCCTGAGGACCCTAACCGCGAAGTCTACTCCTCCATATGTGGCTGGCTGTCTTAAACTAACTTTTGTGAGAAGTTAATTGGTGGATGATGACTAGCAGTGGAATCCAGGACAATGCACATTTCGTCCCATTTGGGACTTGTGGCCAACTGGATGTACCTGCATTTCCCAGTGAGTGATGAGGTTCCCACCGAGGCTCGAACATCCTAGATTCCACCACTAGTCATTATCCACCAATTAACTTATAATTACATGCCCAGGCATTGTCGAAGCATCTGCACAAGTATCCGACAGACATGTCAACCTGAGACCGAGCACTTCGGTCTATTCAATCGACGGGAAAATCTAAAATTCAATTAACTGTGAGTAATTTCATGGTCTTATGAAGCCATGTTCTGGTTTGACTGCCGCTAGCTCTTTTCCAGCCTGACCTTATGTCAGCTTACATTTCCCGTTGAGGAAGGCGTTGGCAAGGCGTACATGCGTAACACATTTCCTAACCACCTCAGTTAATGTAGCTTCACAGCCTTGTCGATTGATTTCCCTCCCCACCTAGCGCTCGGCGCCTAACCTCAGTATTGCTCACTCTACTATACCACTTCACATGGGAGATCAAACGCAGATGCCTATGATCAAAGACAGCTAGCCAGCCAGGCTTTCCATTTCTTCCACTCTCAATGGCCAGGTGTCTCAGCCATAAAGGAGGACGAAGTGACCTTCTGCTCTGGACATTACACACGCCCTTTGGTCGACAGCCCATCGGATATCACATATACTAAGCCAGAGACGGTATAAATTGGCATATGCGAAACAAGCCCTCTGTATCCTTGCTGAGATTTCGTCAGAGATCAACCCGTTGATACTGGCTGATGGTACTTCCCAAGTAAGTGAAGCGGTCAACGTGCTCTACCACTTCACTCCCTATTTCTAAACTAGGAGTCGGTGTAGTCCAATCCTGTAACATCATCTTAAATTTGGCGGGAGCGAATCACATGCCAAACATTTGTAGATTGCAGCTCAAGGTGTTCATCAAAGACTGCATTTTGTCAGCGCCTTCACGTAGAAGGACTATATCATCTGAATATTCTATGTCAAGGAGATTATACCCTAGTAACGAGTGAATGCCTGAATGGCTAAAGTCACTTAGGGTTGATTCTATTAGTACATCTATGATAAAATTCAATAGAAATGGGGATAGTGAGCAGGGCATCTCTGACGGACACCACTTGTTGTCTGTCACCACTTCAAATGACCAATCGCCGTAACCCCCCCTCACATAGAGAGAGAAACAGCACTGACTGACTGACTTGACGTTGATGTTGAAAATCTGAATGTTACTCTGTTTATACTGATTACAGCAGAAGATGATCCATATTGATTTCAGGGTGATGAATGTCTCTTTTGTGCTTTTACGATGTTGGCTGTCATTCACATGTGGTTATCTTTGCTGCCTAAATAAGTGAGAGAGAGAGAGAGACAAGTGACTATCTTCAAATGTTTCCTCGATGATAATGATTGAGATGCTTGAAAAGATTATATGGCCACTTAAAATATTTCTTTCATCGCCCCTCCTCTCTCTCTCTGTGTCTCTCCATATATGTTTCCGACAATCATTATATTTCTTGACCTAAAGGTGGCATTCGATTCTGTCGACCGGGAGGTTCTCTGGCGATGCTTGGCTGTAAAGGGAATGCCAAGAAAATACATTGCACTGATTAAGGCACTCTACTCGTACTCATGCAGCCAGGTGAGGGCTTATGGCGAGTTGTCATCTGAAGTAGTGACGACTAGTGGCGTCCGTCAAGGATGCCCATTATCCCCATTCCTATTCAACTTCATCATAGACGTGCTAATGGACTTAACCCTAACACACTTCAGCGACTCAGGGATTGACTTGCTACCAGGGAAGAATCTCGTTGACTTAGAATATGCAGACGATATAGTCCTTCTAAGCGAGGACGCTGACAAAATGCAGAGTCTACTGAACACCTTGAGCTGCAATCTAAGAATGTTTGGCATGCGATTCGCCCCTGTAAAATGTAAGATGATGTTGCAGGATTGGACTACACCGACCCCTAGATTAGAAATAGGAAGTGAAGTGGTAGAGCACGTTGACCGCTTCACTTATTTGGGAAGTACCATCAGCCAGTGTCAACGGGTTGACCTCCGACGAAATATCAGCACGAATACAGAGGGCTAGGTTCGCATACGCCAGTTTACACCGTCTCTGGCGTAGACGCGATATCCGACTATGGACCAAAGGGCGTGAGTACTGCTCAACAGTCCGCTCCGTCCTCCTTTATGGCTGTGAGACCTGGCCATTGAGAGCGGATAGCATGAAAAGACTAGCTATCTTTGAACATGGGTGCCTGCGTTCTATCTCCCGCGTGAAGTGGCATAATAAGGTGAGCAATATTGAGGTTAGGCGTCGAGTGCTAGGTAGGTGGGGGGGAAATCAATCGACGAGACTGTGAAATTACATCGACTGAGATGGTGAGGACATGTGTTACGTATACCTAGTCATCGCCTTCCTCGACAATGGGCAATGTTAGCTGATATAGGGTCAAGCTGGAAAAGAGCTAGCAGCGTTCAAACGAAAACATGGCAACAGTCAATGGAATCCACAACAGTTAGTCTAAGCCACGTAGGAAGGTGTAGACTAGCTTCCTGGCTGGGGTCCTCGGGACGGTAAAAACCAATGGTTGGAAACAATTGGTGACATGGCTCAAAATCGTCGTTGTCAATGGCTAGCGCAGATGCATCCACTCCTTGTGACTTATGATTTCCAATTAAACTGTTTTGTTTTTCGTTATTACTATTCCTTTGTCTCACACCTGTGTTTACTGTCTATATTATTATGCATTTCTCCTACTTTCTTCTCTTGCTTTGTTGTGCTACAAGGAGGGAGTGTGGCGACTTGAACTGCCGCACATATGTGCAAAGTTCTATGTCGAAAACCGACCGACCGACCATATATGTTTGTGTTTTTATTTTTTTTCTTCAATAGAATTTATGACCGACGTAAAGTTAGCAGACACGATCCAAAGAAGGGATTACTGCACACTTTTGGTGTAGATCATCTACGTGCAAATAGTAGACGTCAGTCGACGACAACAACAACAAATACAGGAGGAGAAAGTCAATTCAGTCATCGTGTCACGATGAATTCACGTACAAGTCGTCGTCGTCATCTTTCTGGTGATTCGGATTCCGATTCAGACTCAGATAGAAATTTGTTAAGTTCGCTAACTGCACAATTGGGTCATGGTGTACGTGCTGTACTTAGTGCTCTTGGCGGGCGTGCACGAGCAGCACTACTCAGTGGGAATACTAATGACAGTAGTATACCATCGAATTTAGCAGATGATTTTGATCTGACAATGTACAGTGTCACTGCTGCTGTGTATAGTCCTCAGGGTGATGGTAGGTGGTTCACTTTATTTTTGATGATAATAATTATTTTATTGTTTATTTAGATTATGGAATATGTTAGAATTATATTTTTGTATTATCATTGTTCCCTTGAGGTTGGAGTGGAACATACAGTTTCAACATCACGCCTCCATTTTGTCCCATTCTCTGTGATCCTCTCTACCATCACATCAAGTGGCCTCTCATTATTGCCCATAGTCTCGCATCTCCTTCTCCTCCGTGTCGTCTTCGGAAACACCTCCCAACTCGTCGTTTCCTGTTCTAGTTCCACTCGAGGCAATGAACTGGCGAGCGATAACAGCCGACAGTCTCCTCAGCGTGTGTCTAATCCGTCTACATTCTCCTCGGCAAATTTTTGTTGAGCGATAGATTCTTGGTTGGTTCGTTCCAAGAGTTTCTCGTTACCAGTTGTTTTCGGCTGGCCATTTACTCTTCAGTATGGAGTCAGCGAAGGGGGCAGTTGTTGATAAAAGTTTACAATAGGCTGTTGGAAAATCTTTTTTTTTGTGACGTGTGAACCAAGTTTCTGATCTATATGGAAGAACTGACTGACTTTAATACTGGGGTTGACAATGGGATTTTTTTTCCTTTATTCTGAGTGTTGATTTCTTCATTAACTTACATCAGTTAGAGAAATCATTGAAGATCGGGAAAGACTAGACAGTTGATTCATCCAATATAAGGGCTGCTGGTTAGTGCCCACCCACGTCCCCACCAGCGATTAAACCCGAGATCTTCAGGTAACGATAGGAAATCGCTTGACTCAATGCAACCCACCAAGTCGGACATGAGGGTAAATACTCACCGATAATATTTGCTTGCTGGCAGTCGTACGAATTGACTGGACTGGCCATTGGATTCCGTCTCAGTAGGCTGGGTGATGAACAAGCTCGCCTTGTAACCTGAAGATCTCGGGTTCGATCGCTGGTGAGGTACTGCTGATGACTCCCAAACAAGAGAAGGAAAAAAAGCAGCTGTTCACTACACCCAGGTTTTCCAGTGGTTCTCTAACCGAAGTCAGTTTGTGATCGATCTTGTGATCAATTAAACACCTACAAATGAACACTGGAAAGTTAGTCCAGTATGCTCATTAGTAACTAACTATTGGATGAACTTACCAGAAGTTCCAGTGGGAATTCTATGATTAGCGGGGTCTGCCAAGTTGGCAAAACAGACCTTCATCAATCTAAAATCAGTTTTAAAATCTCCTGCACTCAACAAAAATGAAAAATTTCCCATTTTCAACCCCAATATTAAAGTCAGTCATTTCTTCTATGTGGATCAGAAACTTGGTGCGTGCTTCATGAAAAGCATTTCCAACAACCTGCAGTAGATTTTTATCAACAACTGCCGCCTTTGCTGGCTTCACACTGAAAATCAAATGGCTGATCGGAAAGAATTCACAACAAGAAACTCTGAGAACCAAACAACGACGAACTCGTTGCTCAAAAAAATATTCCTGCTAAAATGGAGATGGGTCGGTCACACGCTGAAGAGACTGTCGGGTGATATTGCTCGCCAAATCATTGCCTCGAGTGGAACCAGAATGGGAAATGACGAGTTGGGAGGTGTTTCCGAAGATGACACGAAGGAGATTGTGTGAGGATTAGGAGGAGGAGAAGGAGATGAGAGACTATAGGCAATAGTGAGAGGCCAGTTGATGTGATGGTAGAGAAGATCGCAGAGAATAGGACAAAATGGAGGCGTGGTGTTGAAACTGTATATTCCACTCGGAAGCCAAGTAAAGTGAGGACCACTTCTCACTTACGACATTGGCGCTGGTTGTTGCACAATATTTCGACAACTTGCAGAAGTTTGAAGTTTGATTTTCTTTTGTGCTAATCGTTATGTATTGTTTATCTTAATGTATTATCTTTAAATGTTTTATTTATTTATTTATTGTTTTTTAGCTATTCTTTTGTCTTACAATGATGATGATATCTATTTGTTCGATGTGAATCATCTTGATAAACCCTATTTACACAAATACTCTGGTCATCGTAATATGCAGACAAGTTAGTGAAATTTTATTTTATTATATTTTCTCTTTTTGTTTTCATTTGATTCTCTACAGCGTTAACATCTTTACAGACGACCGATTCATCATTTCTTGTGTCATGATTTGAAACAGTTATTCCAAGAATCACTTGCATTTACATACAGTTACTTGGCATTGAGCTATAGCTATTGTGTGTTGTCACCGTGGCGTGGGGTTGGAGCTAAGGATACTCCCTTAATTGTCTTAGTGATTTGTCGATTTGTTGTGGAATTGAGTTTGAACTCATGATGCGCAACGGTTGATAGTCGATTAACTAAGCGCCAAAGTGGGTACAATTGGTTGGAGGATTTTGATCATGAGCTGACGTCAGTTAGAGGACCATTGAAAACCACTAGAGGGTACTGGACAGCTGTTTCGTAAACCTAGTTCGGGACTGTTCGCCCCTGTAAAATGTAAGATGCTGCTGCAGGATTGGACTTCACCGACCCCTAGATTAGAAATAGGAAGTGAAGTGGTAAAGCACGTTGACCGCTTCAATTAATTGGGAAGTACCATCAGCCAGTGCCAACGAGTTGATCTCAGACGAAATTTCAGCACGAATACAGAGGGCTAGGTTCGCATTCGCCAGTTTTCGCCGTCTCTGGCGTAGACGTGATATCCGACTATCGACCAAAGAGCGTGTGTACTGCTCAACAGTCCGCTCCGTCCTCCTCCTCTATCTCCCGCGTGAATTGGTATAATAAGGTGAGCAATATTGAGGTTAGGCGTCGAGTACTAGGTAAGGTGGGGAAATCAGTCGACGAAACTGTGAAATTACATCGACTGAGATGGTTAGGACATGTGTTACGTATGTAAGCCTAGTCACCGCCATCCTCGACAATGGGCAATGTTAGCTGACATAGGGTCAGGCTGGAAAAGAGATAGCTAGCGGCGGTCAAACGAAAACATGGCATCAGTCAATGAAATCCACAACATTTAGTTTAAGCCAGTCACGTAGGAAGGTGTAGACTTCCTGGTTGGGGTCCTCGGGACGGTAAAGACCAATGGTTGGAAACAATTGGTGACATGGCTCAAAATCGTTCTCAATGGCTGGTGCAGATGCATCCACTCCTTGTGACTTATGATTTCCAATGAAACTTTTTTGTTCTTCGTTATTACTATACTTTTGTCTCACACCTCTGTTTACTGTTTATTTTATGCATTTCTTCTACTTTCTTCTCTTACTTTGTGTGCTACAAGGAGGGAGTGTGGCGACTTGAACTGGCGCACATATGTACAAAGTTCTATGTCGAAAACCGACCGACTGTTCAGCAGTACTCATCCATCACCAGGGTTCGAACCCAGGACCTTCTGGTTACAAGACGAATTTGTACACCATTAAGCCACTGGGATCCGATCCAATGTCAGCTCACGATGATTTCCTCCAACCAATCAAACTAAATCTTTACAAAAACCAGCACTTGAAGATTCATCTGATGCTCACTAGCGACCAGCCCTATTTAGGCAGTGATCTGAGGTTCTAGTGGGAAGCCGTGAGGAGTAGGGTGCAGCAGGTTGAAGGTGAGGCAGTAACTCATCAAAGAAGACATTGCCAAGTGGTCACGCTATTTCATGAATTGGCAGAAGTTAGAATCCATGGGTCATTGGATTTGGCCGGGGTTCCAGTGGCTTAATGGTCTACGACCTGGTCTTGTAACCAGGAGGTCCTGGGTTCTAACCTCAGTGGAGGCGTTCTGATGAAAAGTCCCAAACTAGGCTGACGAAAAAGCTGTCCAGTACTCCCAGGTCTTTCAATGGTCCTCTAACTGATGTCAGCTCATGATGAAATCCTCTAACCAATCAAACTAAATCCCTACAAAAGCAATACTTGAAAGTGGGTATAACTCAACCAGGCTTTATTAGACAATGGTAATGTGTTTAGATAGTATAAGACAAAATATAGGTGGGCGTCTTTATCTTTATTTGCTTCACAGTATAACGTCTTTTTATTTGTCTATCGGTTTTTTTCTCTTTCTGATTTGTTTAGTTTTTGTTTTTCAATATCCTCTTTTCTATTTCTGTGTTCTTACTTTCCATGCCGTTCTTCTTTGATGTGTATTTTTGAATTCTAAGCTGTTAAGAAGTAATTTTAGATAGAGCTTGTTGTGACCACTTCATTTATTTGGTTAGGAAATTGTATCAGCCCCAAATAGATCGATGGCTTAATCGATGGATGCAAAAGGTCCATGTGACATTCTGTAACCTATGCCGTCTCTGGCGTAGATGAGGTGTTCAACCATCGATCAAATGACGTGGATGCTGCACACCAGTTCCCTCCGTCCTCTTCTATGGATGTGAGTAAGACATGGCCTTTGAAAGTGGAAGGGAAGATATGAAAAGGCCGGATAACTGTTGTTTTGTTTTTATCATGGGTGTCTGTCTTCTATCTTCCATGTTAGATGATGGTAAGTATAATAGGGTGAGTAATACTGAGGTTACACTTAGATCGAATGTTAGGTGACGTGGGAAAATCCAATCGATGTGGTTGTACAGGTGAATCGACTAAGGTGAGTGAGTAGGCACATGTGTTACGTATTCTTAGCCATCACTATCCTCGATGGCCGATGTCATCTGACATATTATCAGGTTGGTAAAGAGTTAAAGGTGGTCTAATGAAAACGAAAACACACCATCAGTCCATGAAATCTGTAGCAATTAGTTTGAACCAGCCATGTATGAAGGTGTTGACTGTTTAGTTGGTTGAAGTCCTCAGGATTCTGAGAATCATTAACTGGAGACTATCGTTCTTATTGGCGCTGATGCATTCACACTCTTCGTGATCTGCTATATCCAATGTGACCCTCATATTGTTCTATGTTACCTTTCTTCCTCCCTCATATTTCTGTTTAATTATAGTCCTTTGGAATGTCTGTTTTTCCCCTCTTTTGTCTTCCTTTGAAGTCTGGTAACTTGAGCTGCTGGAATTCAGCGCAAAGTTCTATGTTGAAACAGGTCACTGAGTTAATTTTTGGGTTATGCATTGATATTGTCTATTCGTGTATACGTGTCTCTCTCTCTCTGTTGTCTGTGAGTTTGGTTACGTATCACAATTGTACACATGTGTGTGTGTGTGTTTGTACATTCGATATTGGTCGTTCATCTGAACATACTGTTAGTCTTGATTGATGCAATTCTCAGTGTTAGTTTAAACCAGTTTCTCTATAATATATATACGACTTCATTGAAATAACTGAAATATATCATACTATCATTTCATGACTAAGTTTATCGTTCAAATCCAATCCCTACAGAATCGTTTTAGGCAATCGATTTACGTGCCTTAGAATTGTTGTTGACGTAATTGGATAACAATAACCACCCTCTGTAATGCCTCTATTTGTTCGTTTGAATAACTGTTTAATAATAATAATAATAATAATTTGCTTTATTCCAAAACAGTACTTGTGATACAGAATGGAATTCTCAGCATTTTTTACTACAGTATTGCATCCAGTTAGTACATTATCAATAAATAGAATTCTACATAGATTAAGGAAATCTCAGTTCATTATGACAACAACATATTGGCATGTCAGTAGCAAAGGTAAAGCTGAACAGTGTTTGAAGGTGTTAGAAAAGTAGGTGCTGTCATATTTACTGGCGTAAGCGAGAGAAAGAAACAAAGCAGCACATAACGGAAAAAAGAGAGAGAGAAAGGAAAAGAAAGAAATAAAATGTTGTACCTATAAATGATATGAGCTGGAAAGACGAGGTCCAGTTGTTCTACTGACTATTTAATGAATTATAGGTGTCACGCCTAATGCTTTCTTTATCGCACAGAACACGAGCTAAGTAGGGTATGGTTGAGATTTTGTACTTGCTGGTGCGAGCATATAGTTTCCTATATAGGCTTCTGGTTTTACCTGATGAGATGCAAGGGGAGAGTTGTGAGTGAAGAGGGTGGTGTGAGTTAGATGAAATGGATTTGGCCCATTTTTCACATGAGTCCATGTGCCTGTCAACCAGAATATTAACAAGCTGGTTAAGTGGCACGTTACTTACCCTGCTGATAACCTTTAACATCCTGCGAATATGTTATAGTCTTTCTTCAGTAGCCCGGTAAAAACTAAGGGGGAACAATAGAGAATAATAGGCAGGATGCAAGAGTTAACGAATTGTAGTAGTAAGGGTTGGGTTATACCAGAATGTTTTAACTTCTTGATGTAGAAGATAAGACGGAATATTTTCTTAGAAATCGCCAAGATATAAGACGACCAGGAGAGATCAGCAGATAGAATGATAGAATGGATTTCATCGATTTTAAGAAAGCCTTCAACAGCTTTGATCACTGAGTGATTTGGAAACTGCTCTAACACGATGGAGTGTGCAGCATAACGCAAACCTGTATCAACCTCATTCAACAGCTATACGATGATGATGCCACATGTCAAGTGATTCACTATGGGAAACTCAGTGACGCCTTTGAAGTGAAGTCGAGAGTAAGACAAGGATGCCTAATATCACTGATGTAATGTTCCTAATTGTGGTGAACTAGATTATGCAGAAGATTGAGCATTGCGAGTGGGAAGATAGGAAGACGAAGTTCAACAATAACGTCCCAGGAGTGTGAACGCTCCAATGACCTTGAACGCATGCTAGTCGTTGACTGACAGCACCTGTTATTATGATATCTGAAATATCAAAGCTATTCACCGACTAAGTAGCAAATTTCACTCAGATCACGTTTCTAAGTACTGCTTGGACAATGTGTTAATAGCTCGTTAGGGTTAGGATCAGGGTCATATTTAGGATTAGGGTTACGTCTACGGTAAGGATAAGGGTTGTAATTAGTGTAAGGATTAAGGTTAGGGTTACCATTATGAATAGATATAGAGTTGATGACATTTATTTTAATTTGTTTTCGTATCCACATTTCCATGGAAATTAGTCGTCAATCCTCTTACTGGAAACCATAGTATTTCAACCGAGGGCTTTTGAGGAAGACTACAAAACAGGATAAGAGAGATAAACAAATCAGAAAAAACAGCTCATCTTTAGTCACCTCGGTGAATACATGCACAAAAACTAGTCTAACTTAGCAACTGATACTTCTCATTATAACTAGGACGTATTTTTAATTCATATTAAAAAAAGATAACCTGTTTAATGTGTTTTCGAACATTTTCTTGTCAATATACATCATTTTTTGTGCAAAAATTCCTCATTTTTGTGATTGGTCGGCTGAAGATCACTCGTGTGTTTGCACTCCTGGGACGCTATTGTTGAACTTTGCCGACAGGAATACGTTGGATCCACGAGAAGACTTTAGAAGTTAAGAATGTCGTGGACAATTTATATCTAATGTCACACAATTCTTGAAGACTTACAAACGAAATCCAACAAGTTGGTAGAAAAAGCAAGTAACGAAGGCAGGAGTTTAAGTCAATATAGAGATAAGACCCAGGAAGTGAAGACAATAAACCATCAACCAATCACTAATCACTATCATGAGAAATTCCAAAAGAATTTACTTCTTTCATTTTCATAACCAGTATCATCATTTCAATTACAATCGCCAGCATAGATGAAGATATTTAATGTCCGCCAATATCAGAAAAGTTTTTGTTGTGGTTGTATTCTCTGAGCTGTATAGTTAATTTGCGAAGCTTCCATTACCCTACTAGGCAACATCTTCAGCAGACATACTTCAATCTGAATTGAAGTGAGGTTTTAGATTTCTCCACGAGTTTATTAATCATCTCTCCTGGTGACCGTGAATGTGATTTGTTGCTTTTGTGTGTTTTCACACGCTCTAGGCTGATTGTTTCTTTGACTTGAACTTTGACCCTTTGTGTGTACGAGATTTCTTTCTTATGGGTTGATAAATTTTGTCTGTGTCAATGTGTCTATTGATTGATGGTTCACTGGAATGCCAAGCTTCTAAAAATTCGCTAGCATTCTTGTTGTTTCCTCTGTCTAATATTTGGACGTTGGTTGTCCCAGTCGAATTGATGTCCGTGGTTGTCTATATGTAGTGATATGAGGGAGTGGATGTCATGTCTTTTGACGGCCAGCTTATGTTCGTGGATACGAAGACGAAGGGGATGTCCACTTTGGCCAATGTAGTGTTTTTCGCAGTCGATGCAACCTATTTTGTAGATGATGATGTTGGTTTTATCTTCTTTCGTTGTTGAGTCTTTTGGTTGACATAGAGCTGAGTAAAGTGATTTTGTTGGTTTGTGTGCGACATCAATTCCTAAAGGTTTGAAGAGTCTTGCAGTGGTATCTGAGATGTCCTTTATTTAAAGGACAGGGCGATTTTCTTTGTGCTTTCCTTGTAGGCCTTTGATTTGATAGGTTGGCTTGGGGGTATATCTCCTTTGATGAAATTCCGTGGATATCTATTCTTTTGCAGGACGTCCATGAGATATCTCTTCAATTTTCCTTAAAGTGGGAGTCCTGCAATGAGTCCTGGTCCTCTTGAATAGTATTTGTATACAATTCCTTCTGTGTGTTATTGGATTGTTGCTGTTGTAATTCAGTATTTGGTCTGTATGAGTTGATTTTCTATAAACTTGAGTTTCTAATTCCCCTGTGGTTGTTCGCTTGACTAAGACGTCCAAAAATGGTATCTTGTTCTCGGATTCCTCTTCTCTTGTGAATATGATGTCGTTGAAAACGTTGTTTATTAAGTTGTGAGTTTTATGCAACTCGTTTCTTTTGATTATTACAAATGTGTCGTCTACCTAACCCATCCAAATTTTGGGTTTGATCTTTGGTAGGATTATGTTTTCGAGACTTTGCATCACTGCTTCTACAATCAAACCTGATATTGGCGATCCCATGGGTGTTCCTTTAACTTGTTCATATATTTGGCCGTTGAATTAGAAATACGTTGTTTGGCATAGGTTTATGCATTCCATCCAACTTGTGTGTTGCACTTTTGGTTGTTGTGGAAGGTGTTTGTCGTTGCTGAGTAGTTGCTACATGGTCTCTTTTGCTAGTTTTTGTTCAGCTGAGGTGTGTAATACTGTGACCAGAAAAGTGAAACAGGCCTTCATCAATCTAAATAAGTTTGAAAATCTACTTCGCTCAACAAAAGAAGGGAAAGAGGTTCAGATTTTCAACACTAACGTCAAGTTAGTGAGTTCTTCTGTGTATGACGTTTTATACAGACTACTGCCGACTTTTTTCAACAGCTGTCTTCGTATTGGTTCTGTCCTGAAAATTAGATGACCAGCAGAAAAGGATAAGTTACAAAGAGGAATTCTGGTAAAGAACTAATCGAAAACCCATAGTTAAGTAAAAATTCTTCACGTCCAACATAGGTATAGTTGCTGAAAAAAATGGAGGTGCATCAGGTCTACTCTCAGGGGAGACCCATTGGTGATATCCTGCGCTAGACGATCGATCATGTGGAATCCGAATGAGAAACGATGAGTTGAGCTTGTGTTCAAAGATGGTGACATGGAAGTGATCGTGGGGCAAGTTAAAGAGAACTTCAGGGAACAGGATGAAATGTGGAGATGTGATGCTGAAGCGCTTTGTTCCACTAGAAACCCAAGGGAGTAATAATAATAATAAAGCTCATCATCAAAACATCACGATGTTAATTTTACAGCGAGGCTTATTTGATCCGTTTTGTTCGAGATCATTATATACTTTTGCTTATTTATGCTGTAAACTCAGTGTAATCGACTCATTGGTTATGAATTCCAATGCTTCACTGTAGGCAAACAAACGTATAGCAGAAGATACTCATTAGAGTTATGTGTGCATTCTCTTCTTGGTGTCCATTTTGAACTTCCCAATGTCTAATATGGAGACATCTGAAACCCTACGTAGAATTCTTAATAAAGGAGGAATTAAGGTGACATTTAAACCTAAAAAGTCATTCAGGGAGAGAAGCTCTGTAGGTCAAAGGACGCTGTCGGTTAACCCTATTAGACAAAATAATATAATTTACATAATACCTTGCAAGTCAAACTAGTAGATCGGAGGGGGGGGTCGGTGGTTAGATTGTCGAAACATAAGAATTTAGCGATGGTTAGAATGATTAACCCCACCCACGAAGATAAATAATTTAGAAAAAAATGCTCAGTGATTGCACTGCATGCATTAACACACAACCACACACACAATAAGGTGGGAGAGGGTTAAAATTCTAAAAAGTAATATAGGTATGTAGGTGAATACAGAGAGGGAGGTTGATTACTGAATCTTTGTTCGTAGAATCTACACCCAACACGTGCAATAGGATGCAATGACTTATCACTCATACGAAACATTAAATCAAGAGATGAGAAATAGTTAGAATCATTTAAACGGAGTTCAAAAGTTGTATATGAGTAACTAGATATTGTAATGACAGAAGACAAGGGTCAGGCAACAGATCGTTTATTTAGGAAATCAACACATTTATATATCTTCATGTACATTATTATAGATTATTGTAAGCAAACAAACACAGTCTTCTGATTGGTGGTTTCATCTCTTTGTGGCCGTTTCTTTGAAGGTCACACCGTATATCTGCGAATCGTGTCCGCCCACGCAGAGTCTGCTGTGATTGGTTGTTGAATTAGTCTTTGTTCTTGTTGTTTTCTCATGACCAACATATGGGACGTAAACATTGACGTCAATTGTTGTCTACCAATTTTGGCTAGCAGACAACTCTCACCACAACACCACTATGTAAAACTACGTCAAAATAAATTTTATCCCCCAGTGGAATTATCCTCTACCAACACTACATTGCCCAAGTTCTTTTCTCATATCAAACTCGGTTTCTCTTATCCTCTCTCTCTCTCTCCCTCTTGTATTGATTCACTAGTCGTTGGAGCTACATTTTTTGGACCAAATGGTGAATATATTGTCTCTGGTAGTGATGATGGTTACTTTTATCTATGGGATAGAGAATCTGAAGGTGTCGCACAATGGCTTCATGCAGATATTGGTGGTGCTGTCAATATTATTGAATCACATCCTACACTTCCAGTTTTAGCCTCAGCTGGATTGGATTATGATTTCAAGGTGAGTTTATTATATATATATATATATATATATATATATATATATATGTCCAAACCAAGTTCACTTTTGAACAGTTTGAAAAAATTTGGACATTGGGTATATGATATTCATTATAATAAAGGTTTTTATTGTATTTTTCGATGAAATAAAAGAACAAAACGATGTTGTTCTTTTTACTGACGTTTTGCTGTTTCAAATGCTGCTGCTAATAGCTTTATCGAGGTAGTAATATTAAACCAGAATTTACAAAATCCACTCAGCTTATATATAATAACTTAATCATCGTTCCCCAGTATGTGGTCATTTCTGCGTTGTTGTCAAGTTGGCCGATTGGTGTACAGATAACAAAACCAGGTGTAGATGACTGCCGGATTTGATAAGGGCATGAAATAATTAAAAGCAGCATGTGTTTACATAATGAAATTACTTATCACATTCGTGTTGATTTTGTCACTTCATGGGTGGAGGGGGGGTTTGTTGCAGCCAGGTCAAATCCTGTTTCAGTCCATTATTCCTATTCAGACAAATCGGATGCCATTTGATATGAAAGGCTTCTGATGATATTAGACGTTCTTTGTGATTTCCGCAATTTTTTCTGGATAATGATTTCAATATTGTCAAAATCAATTTTGTGACCTGATTTTAAAGTGTAGCGTGTAGACGACCTATGGTTGATGATTTTTCAAGCATTTCTAGTTCAACTGGATTTCTTGGTGGTCGAAAAAGAAGGCGACTCTACGGTGTTCATTTCTTCTGATTTTGATTTCTCTTTGGAGATGTTTGTCCGATGTATATCGCATTTTATTTGATAGACACAATTAGATTGGGAATCCTTTGGAATTCGGTCTTTTACATGGACAAGGTTGCTTTGTAGTATGTGTGTGTGTGTGTGATGTTTTGAAGAAAACTCTGATGTTGTGCTTATTGAGTACTCTGCTGATTTTTCTGGTCTATATGGACTGACAACTGTTAAGGTTCATGTCTTCAGAATACGTTTTCAACCATATTTAATTTTGGTGTTAATTTTGTTGAAGTTCTTTGTGTAGTTGTCTTTTTTGAGTTGTTATATATATATATATATATATATATACCAGTGCGTCGGTGGCACAGCGGTTAGGACGCTCGCTAATCATGCACATGGTCCGGGGTTCGATTCCCGGTCGACGCACTCCTTTACCTCGCTTATCCAGAAATATTGCTGGTAAAGAGGGAAGGTTGGGCATGAGGCTAGCAACCCCATCCTTTAAAATTAAACACTGCTACAGAAACTTCAAGCCACTAGCTTGGAGCCCTATGTTCCACTGGGAACGTGAAGGAAATATATATATATATATACATGCTGAGATTTTGTAAATTCTGGTTAAATATTACTACTTTGATAAAGCTATTAGCAGCAGTATAAATTGGCGAAAAGTCAGTAAAAACAGCAATATCGTTTTGTTTTTCATTCACTATTATTGGGAAAATATAAAATCTTTTATAATAATGAATACGTTTATGTTATTTAATAATTCTCAGATTAATTCATTCTATTTGTTTGCAGTGTTAAACTATCTAATTAACTTGAAAAAATGCCCAGCTAGAATAACGAATGTTGAAGATAGTTTTCATGTGTTCTAAGTTAACCTTTGTCTCTATCTCTGTATAGAAAGATTTGATTTTAACCTTTCTATGTAGAAGACTGAGTTGATTATTTTGAACGCCTTCAGAGTGTCCACCATCATACGAGACACCCCACCCCAGACACTGGACCATTGAATCAGGTTGTAAATGGTTGAATGATATACGAGCCAGCTTGCCTTGTAACCGGAAGATACTGGGTTCGAACCTCAGTGAGTGCGTACTGCCGATGACTCCTAAACTAGGATGAAATAGCAGTCCAGTACTTCGGTGCTGGTTTTCAATGGTTCTCTCTCTAACTGATATCAATCCTTTATCAAACTCGAAAGATCACTAAACCAAAGAGCAGTAATAATACATCTACTATGGTATCAAAACAAAGTTTACTAAGGAATGTTTAGTGTGATGACGAATTGTTTTTGAACACATAATAATAATTCTTATTATTGTTCCCTTGGGTTCCTAGTGGAACATAGGGCTTCAACTGCACGTTTCCACTTGCTTCTGTCTTCTGCTGTACTTTTCACCTGCATCCATGTTAGTCCATACTGTTTCAACTCCTCTTCACACGATCTCCTCCATGTCACCCTCGGACGTCCCACTCGCCGCTTCCCTTTCGGGTTCCACTCGAGCACTGGCCTGACGCGCGATGTCACCCAGCGGCCTCCTCAGCTCACGAGTGTCCAATCCATCTCCACTTTCTCCTGCATATTTGTTTGGCGATTGGTTCTTGTTTTGTTTGTTCCCATAGTTTCTTGTTGGTTCTTGTTCTTTCCGGCCATCTGATCTTGAGTATAGAGCCAGCGAAGACAGTTGTTGATAAAGGTCTGCAACAGGCTGTTGGAAATATTCTTTGTGACCCGCCAAGTTTCTGATCCGTATAGCAAAACTGACCTGACGTTTGTATTGAAAATCCGAATTTTGTTGTTGATGCAGGCTGAGTGACAGCGGAAGATTTCCAGATTGGTTTCAGGTTGATGAATGTGTTTCTCGCCTTCCCGATTCTCGCTCGATTTGACATCCTCGTTGGTTCCTCCTGTAGTTGAGACAATGCTCCCTAGATAAGTGAATGAAGTAACCTCTTTCAAATCCCTCCCGTTGATGGTGATTGGCGTTGGATGTTGCTGCTGTTGTTGTTGTTGTTTGTTGGTTATTTTCATAACCTCCGTCTTGTCTATGTTCACCTGGAGTCCTGTCTTCTCCGACTGCTTCTTCGACTAGTTTGTCGGTTTTCGCTTGTAAGTCTCCGATTTTGTGTGACATCAAACATAAATCATCCACGCGCGAAATCCAGGTCTTCTAGGTTCTTCACGTCGGTCCAGGATATCCCTGTCTTCTCGTTTCCCACTGTCTGACGCATAATCCGATACACACTCTGCCAATCGCGTTTAATAGATAGATTTAGAAGAAGTGCAAACACCAATTTGATGTCCTGTCTGTATAATATGTTTCGCAATAGAGGAGCCAGGTCTCCTGTTCTTGCCATTAGTGGGTTCTTGGGATTCTATTTGCCTCTGAAACCATTTAGGAATATTCTATGAACACCTTTGTTTATATGTGCACACACGTGCATTTAAATAGGTAAATACAATGGGATGTGACATCATTTTTCGCATGTTTTAAGGGCTTAGGTGGAAATATCGGCTTCACATTCTCAAGTATTATGATTTCAGCTGCATAAAAAGTCTTTTTCACCACAGCTTTCAACCTCTGTCGTGTTACCATGCAGCTATGATCCTCCATATATGGTAGCTTGATGTACACGTCAGTCTTAATGACGAGTTGGAGAGTGGCTCTTGATGTTCTGTCCGCTTTATATCTCCTAATGAACTTGTCTGGATATTTTTTATCAGCCAGAGTTTGTGTTAACTTTCTTTCTTCCTCATCCAGTGTGTCTTCGGTGCATATTCGTTAGATTCTACTGATGAGGTACCTTACTAAGGCTCTTTTATTCCGAACAGGGTAAAAACTGTGATAATTAAGATACTGTCCTGTCCAGAAAGTTTTTCTATGAGTATATCGTTTTATTGATCCATCAAGCCGTCGACTAAGCAATATATCTAGGAAAGATAAACAATTACCTTCCTCTTCTACAGACGTAACAATAGTAGCAGTGTAACAACAGAAGACAAGGGCCAGGCAACAGATCAGTTTTATTACGAAAACCAACAGGTATTTATATGTATTTTACGTACATTAATAGGCTTCTGCCGCAGAAAGAAGGCGGTCTTCTGATTGGTTGTTTGCAAACAAAGGCAGTCTTCTTCTGCTTTCTCGTTTTCGATATTTCTCGGAAATGCGAGCCACTTGTCTGCGAATCATATTTGTCCACGTCTAGGTCAGCTGTGATCGGTTGTTGAATCAGCCTAGATTAATTTCTACCAATCAGCGTAGATCAATGTCTACCAATCGGCTAGCAGCTTGCTCTCACCAGCAGTACTGTTCCAAGTGATTGTGTGAATACTAATCTTACGATAAAATCAAAATAGAGTATTCACAAGATCACTCACTTATTGAACATTAGTGATCGTTATCCGGACCACAAAGTTGTCTAAACACTTTAAAACTGTATAATTCACAACTTTCAAATTGGATCCAATGTATTGCGATTCACCTAAATAACTAGACAAAACTGGTATGGTTCAAAGTGATTCCGGATCTCTCTAATCTGAGTTGAACTGACAACATCTCTGATGAGCTGACTTCTGAACTGGAACGATCACTTTCCGGTGTGTTGGTCAGTTCATATCAATAAATCAATCAGTCAGTCAGTATTCAGTATTACCATGGTTTCTTATTGTAGCGGATAGTGGAGAAGGGGTAATTTTTAGGCACCTAGCAGCCGCGGACACACCGATGACCTTGCAACTTCCAATCTGAGCAAGGCAATTACACCAGATAAAATTACTATATACACGGAGGAAATTCTGCATGAAGTAGAATGATACTGAACATAATAAGGCTAGCTTAAAGTGGAGTTAGACAAGTATTGCGGTTAGCTTTAGTCTAGGGATAGGTTAGGGGTTAACTTGAACCGAATTAGGGGAGAGCAGATATCACAAGTTCATTGGTTCTTTTGTGCCCCTAGCTTACCTCTAAAGTCTTTAGCTTTGCTAAATTTCATTTCAGATTTGACCATAAGCTAGCTGAGTTAGAGAACTTTTGAAAACCGGCAGGAGTACTGGACAGCTGTTTCGCCATAGTTTGAGACTTTTCAACAGTACTCACCCCTCTAGGGTTGAAATACCACGAACTTCTCGGTACAAGACGTGTCTAAAGACTATTCAGCCACTGAAATTCATGACTAGCGGAGTCCACTAATCAAGTGGAGAACTGTTAGTCGCCTACGATATTGGCTGGCGTTTGCGTTACATTATAGTATGTATGCGTTATGAATTCGTAGGAGTTGAAATTCACGTGCCATTGAATTTAGTCCCAGTAACTGTGAATGGTCTACTGGAAGATACAAAACTATTAATAAGACGAAACATCTGTCCAGTACTCCTTGCAAGTTTTCCAATGGTTCTCAAACCGATGTCAGCTCATGACGAAATCATGTAACCAATCAATCAAATCCCTACAAACTAATACTTTAATATCAATGAGATGCTCACTGGCGACTGGCCCTATTCAGGTAGATAGTTACCTGGGGTTCTAGTGGGAAGTCGTGACCAGTAGGGTGCAGCAATTCGAGTGTGAGGACAAATACTCGCCGAAGATATTGGCTAGCGGTCGCACTATGTCGTGAATTGCCAAAAGTTAGAATTCATTGGATCGGGTCCCATTGGCTTGATGGTCCTCGAGCTAGGTGGCCTTGTAACCAGAAGGTCCTGGGTTCGAACCCTGGTGGTGGGTGAGTACTGATGAAGAGTCCCAAACTGGGACGAAACAGTTGTCTAATACTCCTTGGTGGTGGTTTCCCAATGATATACTTATCAGATTGTGATGAAACTGTGTAAGCAATCCAATCCCTTGAGAATCAGTTTTTTTTTAAATCGCTTATTATCTATCCTTCAGAATAGAACATTTTGATTTCTCCCATGAATTGTTTCGCATCACTATTTGTTTTTCTTCAAAAATATTTTTTTCTTCTTTTAGATATGGTCACCAATACGTCCATTATATGCTGAAGAGGATGAGACATTTACCCATTTAAAATATTCAACGACTAGAATTAATTCAGATGTTCAACGACTTCGTAAATCGAAGTTAGCTAAAGCATTTTTTCCAAATAATGATTTTATTAACAATACTACCAATAATAGTAATACTGAGATGGAATCTCTTCGTAAATTATTATCAGACAAAACGAATGGAATTTCTATTTCAATAGACTCTTTAACTTCATCATCATCATCACCATCATCACCATCATCACCATCATCATTAACATCGCCATCGTCGTGCTCTATCTCCTCCACCACCTCCCCCTCCTCTTCGTCATCTTCATCTTTATCGACTTCAGATGAGGAGATGACATCCACCACTACAAATCATCATATTGATGAATGTGATGATATTAAAAATTCTAAGAAACAAAAACAGATGCCATATGAATTTATAAATACTAGTACAGAAGAATATTCTGTTGATATGGATTCTGCATCGTCATCATCAGCTACTGCTGCTGCTGTTGCTGCTGCTGCTGTTTATACTCTGAGTAAATCTCGTAAAAGACGACATCCAAACACGGATATGATATTCAATGAGGATATAGAAGCCGGTGGTAATAATGTTGCTCACAATGGAGACTATTGTACTGAACAAAATGATGAGATGCTACAAGTTGATAATAATACTAATAATATTGATCACAATGATAATAATAATAATAATACAATAAAACAAGAGATGAACGGTATCTCATCAGAGATAATAAATCCTCAAGAATCTCCTCCGCTTAGTAAACAACCGAAACGATCATCGTCATCTTCACAAGTGTTGCCAACATGCTCAACTTCATCTACAATTCCCAATAATAAACAAGAATTAACACCTTGTAAAATACAAGAAAATGATGATAAGACTATCAAAGAGACAGCTAAGAATACTGTAGGATATCAAGATATTAACAATAATAATAATAATAATAATAGTAAAAATGGTGAATCGCAGTCGAACAGTGATAGAATTCAACCAAGGATACCACAATACTTCTTACCCTTTAATCAAATCGACTTACAGTTGGTGAGTTGTGTGTGTGTGACTGGGGAAAGACAAAGAGATTTATATTGATTTTGTTCGGTTGTTTTGTGTTGTTGTTGTGTATTAACATATCCTTTGATTATATTTTAGACAAAGCAATAAGAAGGCGTCATTTGTCTGAATCTCGTGTATCATGTTGTATTTGTGCAAGACACATTTCGAACAATCTGATCACACACACACACGGACTTGTTATAGGAATGATATAAATATGAAATTTCAATATATATTAAATATTCCCATAGTAAAATTTAGAACAACACATTTAAGCGAACAGTGATATTGTGGTTTCAATTAGATCTCATCAGGCTTAACTCTAATATACCTACATAACTTTACAAATATAAATTCAAATATAAACCAATCATGGTGTTTTGTCTATAGGATAATAAGATGGTGAATATAAATGGTGCAATTAGTCATAATAGTAGTAATAATAATAATACAAATGGTCTTATCAATAATAAGGATGAAAAAGTGAGGCAATCTGTGATAACACGAATAATGAAAAACAGCATGATTAAACAAACAACTGTTCAGGTGGAAGTAGTCGATAAAGGCTAGTAAAAACAAATGAACCGATTGAGTAATGCTGGATTGTAAGGGAAGGAAATGAAACACGTTTATAATGAAGATAAGATTAAGGGATGATAAGAAAGGGGTTGAAAATATAAAAAACAAAGGGTGGTGTAGAAGTCATTAGTTGGTTATGTCTTAATAGGCCAATAAGGGAGGGATAATGGCTGAACGAACTTTTTTTGAATGCATAGTTTAGGTTTAATAGTTCGAATGCCTATCGCCTCAGCTGTGTGCAATAAACGAATACGAAGTCTATTGGAAAGATTCGATGGGATACGATGAATTACTTTGAAGGCTCTCGTTTTCTCGATTACATGACCACTATCAATTAAGTGTGACAAAATTGAGCTACGGATTGTTTTTGTCTGTCCTTTGCCAAACCACGATGGGAGATGTTCACTAACACGTTGGTTGGCTAAGCTGTCTAGTAGTACGCCCAACACAACTGTCACCACAGGTGCAGTTGAATTGATAAATGCACATAGATGTGGCAAAACTATCAAGCTTATCCTTCGTTTGCGTCCCAATCATTCGTCGGCTAGAGAATGACAAACATAGGTGTGCTGCATAAAATGTTCTTCGTATACTCCTTGAAAGTCTTTGGAATAGAATCTCACTTGATAAGTCACCATTAAATTGTGACTTAATAAATAGAGGTATTTTACGTGCAGTCAGAGTCTCCGGTTTTTTCTCTGATGTTTTCATATGTTTCTTAATGAAACTACTCGGATAGCCCATCTCCGCGTCAAGGAGTCGTGAATATATTCAAATTCCTTTTGTAAGAGTTCATCCGTACATATTATGACTAATTGCACAATTTATATTCACCATCGTATTATCCTATAGACAAAACACCATGATTGGTTTATATTTGAATTTTTATTTGTAAACTTATATATATATATATATATATATATATATATATATAAGCCTGATGAGATCTAATTGAAAACAATATTGTTCGCTTAAATGTGTTGCTCTAAATATGAAATTAATTGAGAGTTAGGAGGTGAAAAAATAGACTACTTAGGTCTGCCATATTGAAGGTTAAAATAACAATGAAGATGACTAAACCAAATAACAGAGGTAATAGTACATCTACCCTGGCTGCTATCAAAACAAAGTTTACCAAGGAAGGTTCAGTGGGATGACTGATTGTTGGTTACAACTTTGTAATTGCCAGCTAGGGCTTCCACAAACTTTAGGATACGCCCTCCCCCTAAAAACACCTTCTATAGATAGGTTCGAAAGACGTGTAAACATCAATTCTATGCCCTGTCTCTATAATGTGTTTTGCAAGAGAGTGGAGCTAGGTCTCCTGTTCTCACCATTAATGGGTTCTGGGGAAATTCTATTTGTTTCTGGAGTCATTTAGAAATATGCTGTGAAGCTAACCCTTAATTACAGAGATTGATGAGTGGAAACACCCACATTGAGTAGACTCACACTCTATGTAGTATACAAAGCAAGAGTAGAGAGTACAAATAGATTCAAAAGAGAGAATGATAGTAATATGGAAGAGGAACAGTATTGTTATTGCATATTTTAAGTCACAAGGAGTGGATACATATGCGCCAGCCATTGAGAACGAGGATTTTGATTCATATATCACAGGTTATCCTCTAGTCGTCCCGGGGACCCCAACCAGTTAGTCAGCCAGTCTACACCTTCCTACACGGCTGGTTTAAACTAACTGACAAAGATTTCATTGAATGATGGAGCCATGTTTTGGTTTGATCACCACTGGCTGTTTTCCAGCCTGATCCTATGTCATCTAACATCACCTCTCGAGGAAGGCGATCGATTGTTAGGCATGCATGCGTAACACATGTCCTAACCATTCCACTCAATGGATGTAACTTCACAGCCTCGTTGATTGATTTCTCCTCCCTCCTTACCCAGCACTCGACCGACGCCTAACCTGAATATTGCACACCCTGTTACACCTAACACTAGAGATAGAACACAGGCACCTATGATCGTAGACAGCCAGTCAGCCTTTTCACGTCTTCCATTTTCAATGGCCATAACTCACAGCTATGAAGGAGGACGGAGCGGACTGCTGAACAGTACAAATGCCTTTTTGGTCGACATGCAAATCTATTTCAAACGCTCTTAATATTTTGTCTGTAATTTCAAAGATATTTTTCATATATATGGTAGAATAAATTTTCTTGTAATCTATGATGATGGTTTGTTCTTACTGTTATGACTAGAATATTAAAACCGCTTGAAATAGAGGCAAAAGGATTAGTAATAACGAAGAACAATATAGTTCCATTGGAAATTATAAGTCACAAGCAGTGGATGCATCTGCGCCAGCCATTGAGAACGATTGTCTCCAGCCTCCATTGGTTGTTACCGTCCCGAGGACCCCAACCAGTCAGTCAGGAAGTCTACACCTTCGTACGTGGCTGGCTTAAACTAACTGTTGTGGATTTCATTGACTGATGAAGCCTTGTTTTGGTTTGACCGCCGCTAGCTCTTTTCCAGCCTCGCCCGTTTTGTCGAGGAGGGTGATCGACGGTTAGACATGCATGCGTAACACATGTTCTAACCACCTCAGTCGATGTAGCTTCACAGCCTCGTCGATTGATTTCCCCTCCTTACCTAGCGAGTGACGCCTAACCTCAATATTGCTCATCCTATTACACCGACCACCTAACACTGGAGATAGAACGCAGGCACCTATGATCAATATCCAAGAGACCAAATTATATTATCGTTCATGAAGAGAGGATTCAAATAAGTTCATTTCATACTAAATTCTGTGCTGAAGGTAGGTAGATGTTATCCAGATAGGGGACAACAAAAAGCTTTGCAATGAAATCAATTAGCTGAGAGAGAGAGAGAGAGAAAACAACTAAATTCAAAATCATCCACCTGAGCTGCACATCTTTTACATTCTTTCACCTGCTTGATTTTTTTCTTTAATAGTATAAATTCATATATTTATTTCTCTTCTTTTATTCTTAATTTATATTTTCAGCGTGTTGGTCAGAATTGGGTTAATCGAGCCTTGGAGCGTAGTCAATTAGAATGTTTAGATGATAGAAGTTTCCGCGTAAGTCTTATATTTATTATTATTATTATTGTTCCCTTGGGTTCCTAGTGGAACATAGGGCCTCAACTACACGTCTCCACTTGCTTTTGTTTTCTGCTGTACTTTTCACCTGCATCCATGTTAGTCCATACTGTTTCAACTCCTCTTCACACGATCTCCTCCATGTCATCCTTGGACGTCCCACTCGCCGCTTCCCTTTCGGGTTCCACTCGAGCACTGGCCTGATGCGCGATGTCACCCAGCGGCCTCCTCAGCGAGTGTCTAATCCATCTCCACTTTCTCCTGCATATTTGTTGGGCGTTTGGTTCCTGTTTTGTTTGTTCCCATAGCTTCTTGTTGGTGATTGTTTCCGGCCATCTGATCATCACTATAGAACGAAGACAGTTGTTGATGAAGGTCTGCAACAGGCTGTTGGAAATATTCTTTGTGACCCGCCGCCAAGTTTCTGATCCATCCATATAGAAGAACTGACTTGACGTTTGTATTGGAAATCCGAATTTTGTTGTTGATGCAGGCTGAGTGACGAAGATTTCCAGATTGGTTTCAGGTTGATGAATGTGTTTCTCGCCTTCCCGATTCTCTCTCGATTTGACATCCTCGTCCGTTCCTCCTGTAGTTGAGACAATGCTCCCTAGATAAGTGAATGAAGTAACCTCTTTCAAATCTCTCCCGTTGATGGTGATTGGCGGTGGATGTTGCTGCTGCTGTTGTTGTTGTTGGTTGGTTATTTTCATAACCTCCGTCTTGTCTATGTTTACCTGGAGTCCTGTCTTCACTGCCTGCTTCCTCGACCAGTTTGTCGGTTTTCGCTTGTAAGTCTTCGATTTTGTGTGACATCAAACATAAATCATCCAGCGCGAAATCCAGGTCTTCTTAATGTATTATTATTGCTATTATTAACAATAATATCTCTGTAGAGATGTAGTCTATTTGCTTATGAGCTCAGTTAATAGCTAACACTAACTAATCAGCGTTCCAGTCCTGCTCTCCCCAACTTCAACCTGAGGGCCTGGTTATAGCCTGGTATATGAAAAATTTATTCACATTATAATTGAGTTGAAACAATGGTATAACAAGATTCTTTTTGATCATGAATAGTAGACTTCATTTGAGGAAACCATTGAAAACCAGCAAGAAGAAGTAGTGGACAGTTCTGAGATTCGAACCGAAGACCTTCCGGTTTACAACATGAACTCGTAGACTTATTCAGCCATTAGAAGGCGTTCCAATAGCCTTTGAATTCCAATCTCAGCCAAATTCCCTATATGTATTTAATGCAACCGCTATATTGGTTCTTGTATAAGTAGCTTACCGTCGATGACAAACCACCATAGGGTAAATCGGGATGTACAATTTTGGGGGTCGAGCTTTTCTATCCCCCTCTCCCCGAAGTGTAGAGACAGCATAGCTGGCTAGCATGCTGGTCATCTGAGGAAAACACCTTACTACTGTTACACCCTTGTTCTCCAGCAGTACGACTTTACCCACAGACTCCCTCCTCAGCATAGTGTAACAAGAAAAAATATTACACTAATGTCAGTAACTGCTTTTAGTCTAATCACTACCTTAACAATCGTCCTTGCATGATAGAACCTACAGGCGGAACATTAGTTCCAACCAGTGTAGCGTGTGAAGGTCATTCTGCGATATACAAATCCGATGACCATCACGTCAAGATAGCAACTGTCGGTTGGGAAATTCTAACAAACTATCATGTAAAAAAAAAACAGAGATCATCAGATCATGGATCAACTTCATTAGAATGCCCTGTAGCTTTATTGAACTATTATCTGCTTGGTGTATCCAGAAACGATCAGCAACAGGGATCTCTGGCAATGAGCGAACCAACCAGGAACCGATTGTGAAACAAATAGGCAGGAAGAAATGGAGATGGATTGGCTGACCATACTCTGAGGAAACAATCCATCAAGTGACATCACTAGACAAGCCATTGCTCGAGTGGAACCCGAAAGGGAAGCAGCGAGTTGGTCGTCAGTGCAAGGGTGAGGGTGACTTGGAGGAGGTGATGTGAAGAGGAGATGAAAACGTGTGGGCAGACTTGGAGCCAGGTGAAGACTCTAGCAGAGAACCGATCGCAATGGAGACGCACGGCTGAAGCCCTATGTTCCTCTAGGAATTAAAGGAAACAATGATAATAATAATGGTGTATCCATGTTATCCGTTGAGGTCAGGTAGAGTGATGGTGGTGGCGGTATCGAAGCCTTATCGGATATGATAGCGTAAAAAGATATTTAAAAAAGCTCTCATTCATTTGTTTTTTGCTTCGTTACTGTGTATTTTAGTTTCCTCTTATGTGTGTGTGTGTGTCAACTTGAGTCTTTACATGAGCACATTCACTGTTAATATATACATATATTTATCATTTCTAAGGTAATATTAACTAATTATGGTTCATAGTAAATTTTTGTTTCTTTGGTGACGAGCGCGCTAAATCACGAATTGGTAGAAATTGGAATTCATGAACGATTGGCCATTTAATCGGGTCCCAGTGTCTGCTGAATGGTATACGAGCCAGTTTGCCTTGTAACTGGAAGGTTGTGGGTTCGAAACCCACCCTGGTGGTGTGAGTGTGTACTGTCGATGATTCTCAAACTAGTCTCCGTCTGTCTATCTTCAACACAGAACTTTGCACCGATGTACAGCAGTTCAAGTCGCTACACTCCCTCCTTGTAGCACAGAAAGCAAGAGAAGAAAGTAGAAGAAATGCATAATAGAGACAGTTAACAAGGATATGAGACAAAAGGAATAGTAATAACGAAGAACAAAACAGTTTAATTGGAAATTATAAGTCACAAGGAGTGGATGCATCTGCGCCATTGAGAACGATTTTGAACCATGTCACCAATTGTTTCCAACCATTGGTTTTTACCGTCCCGAGGACCCCAACCAGTCAGGAAGTCTACACCTTCCTACCTGACTGGCTTAGACTAACTGTTGTGGATTCCATTGACTGTTGCCATGTTTTCGTTTGACCGCCGCTAGCTATCTCTTTTCCAGCCTGACCCCTATATCAGCTAACATTGCCCATTGTCGAGGAAGGCGGTGACTAGGCATACGTAACACATGTCCTAACCATCTCAGTCGATGTAATTTCACAGTCTCGTCGATTGATTTCTCCCCCCACCTACCTAGCACTCGATCAAAGCCTAACCTCAATATTGCTCACCTTATTATACCACTTCACACGGGAGATAGAACGCAGACACATGATCGAAGACAGCTAATCTTTTCATGTCTTCCGCTCTCAATGGCTAGGTCTCACAGCCATAAAAGAGGACGGAGCGGACTGATGAGCAGTACACACGTCCTTTGGTCGATAGTTGGATATCACGTCTACGCCAGAGACGGCGTAAACTGGCATATGCGAAACTATCCCTCTGTATTCGTGCTGAGATTTCGTCGGAAATCAACCCGTTGACACTGGCTGATAGTACTTCCCAATTAATTGAAGCGGTCAACGTGCTTTACCACTTCACTTCCTATTTTTAATCTAATCTTTACAAACCACCTGTTAAAAGTTTGTTTGTTTTTCTCTGCTTTTTTCGTCTTCTTCTCCTCTAGATTCTAACAGCAATTGAATCAGTTGCTGAATTACGTCCAATAAGCATAAACAATACAGACGACGATAATAGTGATTCAGATTCAAGCAATAACACCAACAACAGTTCTAGTGATTCAAACAATAACATCACCATCACTAACACCAACAACAACAACAACGCCGATGATGATGACGGTAATGGTGATAATAGTTCCCCTGATCCTTTTGAATTTATTCAGTCTGTAGTTAGGCTTAATGATCATTTTGATCTTCCAGGTAACAACCGAAGGAGAATAAGACGAACACGAACAAACAATCATGATGCTGTTGATAATATAGAACAAAGAAGTGAAGAAACATTAGCTACTAGAGATCGTGAAGAAGGATCAGATGAACACAGTTCATCAGATGATGAAGATTTTGATAATGACAATAATAATAATAATAGTAATAATATTGCATCAAGAATATCTAGTTTTTTAGCTAACGAATTTAATTGTTCTTCAGATTCAGACAGTACCTTCTCATCTTCATCGTCTTCATCTTCGACACCATCATCATCATCTTCAAGTTCAGCAGCAACATCAAATCCTTCATCACCATCCAGTGGTGGTGGTATGCTTACTGGTGTACCGGTTTCAAGGCGAAAATTCTCATAGCATGCATGCATGCATGTGTGTGTGTGTGTGTAAATGTCAAATGAAAAGAGAGGAAAAGAATTTGAATGATACATTTTTGTGATTATTATTATTATTTTTGGGATCTTTACCTGTTCTGTTCCAATTTTTGTAATGCATTTTGTTTGTTTGTTTCTGTTATTATTGGCAAGAATTCATCTCATTTTTATATTCTACGTTTTTGTCTTTGGCGCATGTATAATTTGCGTGCGTGCGTGCGTGCGCGCACTCCCACACAGAGGCACACACACACGCACACACAGTGACAATATTTCATGTGTTCTTCCCTGGGATGAGTAAATATCACCGCTAGTTAGTTAGTGAGTTAGTTATTATTATTATTATTACTACCAAGAACGATTAGGCAACTAAGTATTACTATTATTATTGTTACTCTAACCTTTGTAAATTATTCTCTAATTCCATTATGACCTTGTTAAAATTTGCACACTATTTGACATGAATTCATTCTCTCTCTCTCTCTTTCTGTGAGTGTGTGGGTGTGTGCATTACATTTCATCATCATCACCATCATCAGTGGAGTAAAGTAAAACGCCAAACAAACATTATATTACACATGTATATATGTGGTCCAGGGTTCGATCCCCTGTTGGACTGCAAAATTTGGAGCTGCCGAGATAAAACACAGGCTGAAAATTTCCTACTTGTATCAAGAAAAAAACGGTGCAGAATCCAAACTATAGTCAAATATTTTGAAAAAAAAGTTAAATAAATATATATGTATAATACTACTTCTACATAAAACCGATAGAGAACACTTTTAACCTACTGAAGTGTGTGATTGAGGTGGGTGAGAATTTCTTTTGTTTTGTTTTCACATAACTATGTCTCTCGCTTATAATTTATTTTGTTTGTTTGTTTATCTTTTTGTATCTCATAAAATACCATTTCATGATGACATTTATTTTTTTTCCTTAAATTATTTTATTCCTTTGCGTCCTTTTGAGTAGAACTTATATATATATAGGCTGTTCAAAGCTTGAATGTTTAGGCCTTCACTGGCTTCACATTGGTCTTCTTATCTACTTATGCGATAGAGTTGGTCGTTGGTCTCACACTCTTCAATCTTCTTTTCGGGTTTACAACCGACTACTAGATATGAGGTAAAGGTGTAGGAGATATATGTGCACCAGTTGGTTGGGAGTCGAACTCTGGATCATATATGAGGCTTGGTTGGCACGCACGCATAACCATTCTACCGCTGAACCAATCCTCTACTAACTCGCAGAGATGTTAAGGATTACGATCGGTTTATACCAAGGTGAATCAAAATGCATAAGTAATAAATCTGTTTTGAAAAACTTGGAACAATCTTACGTAATTAAAAAGGGTTGACAACTAGTTAGTTCAGTGATGAATATACTCGTTTGAAATTGGTTGATAAGGGACAAGAAAACAAAAGATTGAAAAAGGAGTTGCAGAAAATTATAAAACGCATTGCATAGAGCTTATTATACGCCTCTTTAGGGAAGATAAAGGAAGAAGACAAGGGTCAGGCAACAGATCGTTTATTGAGAAAATCAAGAGATATTTATAGATTTTTATGTACATTGTTGTCAGCGGAGAAGCAACGTCTTCTGATTGGTTGTGTGTTTCTTGCTGAGGCTCATTCTCTACTGCTTTTGACCGTTTCTTAGAAAGTAAAGCCATATATTTACGAATTGTATTTGCACACGTTACGTCTTCTGTGATTGGTTGGTGAGTTCCTCAAGGTTAAGCCTTGTCATTGTATTTTTCCTCATAACCCGATTCGGGACGGTAAGTATTACGTAAATTGTTGTCTACAATTTTGGTTTGTTTGCAGACAGCTGTCACCACACTAAGGCTATGGTAATAAAAAGAGGGTGGACGAGACGTTTCTGAACACAAAGTTCAAGTTTCTCCTTAAGGATTGCTATAGCTTCAGCTGAATGAAGAAGATATAGGTGAAATGCTTTCGAACGACTTGGTTGTGTGTTGTGTGTGTGTTTACACTTTATCGATGACTCTGAAAGAAGTCTTTACTGATGCTCCGGAATTGAACTGTGCACTGTTTTGCAGCACTGGCTGACGCGGGTTCGAATCTCAGAAGAAAGGATATGAGTTCCTTCAAGGTAACTGCAGATACGCCTTCCTGACCGGTGAGTGCCAACTGGCACAAAAACTAGGTTTAACCAAGGTTTCCTGTGACCGATTCCCTCCAACCATCTAATACCAACAGTGCACCGTGATGGCGAGCCACCTAGTGGCATGGTAACCACATTGCAAATGTTACTGGTCGAATTCAATCTGGATCAAAGATAGGACTAGACACACACGTTACACTAGTTAGTGTTCTACCTTCTCCTTTTGTCAACCATGCTAGTAAGTATTCATCGATACGTCCATATAATATGGTCGGGCTTGCATATCGCAATGACCCAACAAGCTACACTGGCTGGAACTTATGTTCCTGTAGGTCCTACCATGCCAGAAAGGTTGTTTGGATAGCGGTTAGACAAAAAGCAGCTACCCAATCCAATAGTATGATTCAAACAAATTCACAAAATATCATGCCGGATCGGTCGGGGCCCGGATTAACAACGACCGTGCTTCCTGCTTCCGTGTCACAGGGCAGAAGTGATAAATATGCTACTGAGACACACCAAACAAAAACAGGCCGCGTGTGACCGGCCTCAAGCAGTTGTCCCCTGGGCTCTGCGGTCACGCAACACTAACCTTTTCTCTATTTCAGGTACCCGAAGACTCAACCAACTTCCACGGTGTGGGCAGCCGGGAAGTAACAACCGCCCACACACTTCCAAAAGCACACGAAGCCTACCTGAGCATCACTCTCCCTTACAGACAATATCCTGCTGCTTTGGCCTATGTACGTAGGTAGCTCCACAGCGACAGGTGAATTGATTAGTACACACTGAAGTTGCCAACAGTTGAATTAGAGCATATGTTTGGTAGTAAGACTGATCATTATATATATATAAACTCCCTAAGAATAACTGTACAGCTTTGAAGTGAAATTAGGAAAAGAGGAGATCTGTTTGCCGACAATTATATGTGGGTGTTCTGAATTACATCAGGAAATGGGAATATTTCATACCCTAAAGAAAGAAAAAACTTGTTTGATTGTGTTTTTTTTCATGGATGTTTTTACTTAAGCCTCATAATCAAAATCTACTAGCTCAGAGAACACAACTAAATCTAGATCATCTATTTGAGCTACAGATCTTCTCTATTGCTTGTCATATTGTAACAACAAAAGACAAGGGCCAGGCAACAGATCCTTTATTAAGGAAAATCAACACATATTTATAGATTTTGATGTACATTATTGTAGATTATTGTTAGTAGAAAATACAGTCTTTTGATTGGTTGTTTCTCACAGAAAGTTAACCTTGCATCTCTTTGTGGCTGTGTCAGATCATCCATATGCTAAATTTGTCCGCCTACGCAAAGTTTTTATTGTCATTTTCTCACCACCAATATTGGGGACATAAACATTGACGTCAATTACTGTCTACCAACTTTGGCTAGCAGCCAGCTCTCACCACACTCGTCCCCCCGTCAAAGACTTGTGACTGAAGTTGGTTCGGTCTTCTTGGTTCTTGGGGCTTTGCTCTTTTGTCTTGCTGTCTGGAATCTCGGCGCTTGCGGATGTTCACCTGTTTCTCTGTGTTTACCATTCCGATTGTGTCTGCGTAACCCCATCTCAACGTGACCACATGTGGTCCTTCCCACTTTGAAAACTCTTTGCCTGACCCTGTCGCACATTCGTAGGTATTTCGCCTCACACTTTCATATGCTGCTTTCTCCCGATCTCCCAGCAGCGTCCCAAGTAGCAGTCTCATCGCTGACAGATCTTGAACGCCACTCAACTGCGAAGAAGCCTCGAAGTCCTGCCCGAAGATCCATTTGTCTCCATCAAAAACTGCAGGGCATAGGCTTTCCATTTGTCGGTAGGCAGCGACACCAAATGTAACAACAGAAGACAAGGGCCAGGCAACAGATCGTTTATTAAGGAAAATCAAGACATATTTATAGATTTTAATGTACATTATTGTAGATTATTGTTAGTAGAAAATACAGTCTTTTGATTGGTTGTTTTTCACCACAATGTTTCTTAAAATGGAGACGAGATCAGACTCCGACTATCATTAGATGCTTGATTTATAGTGTAGACGAAAATGGAGTGCTGCCAATCGGACTCACGAAACTGTGTATGGATTTATGAAGTGTTGTCGCCTGGTGACGTGATGACAAGCAGTGGGTGTCTGTCATACATGCCTGATATCTTAATTTCTGTTCGATTCTACTATACATGGACTTATGAATATACGACTGTAATCTAGTTTCACCGACTTGGCGATTGTTTGTTTTCCATTTAGAGTCTATAGGTGACATTGTTCTTCTGCATGTGGAAGCTAATCGAATGAGATTAAACAAGCAAATGACCTGACTGTGCATTCATAATCCACAGATACATAAATCTTATGCTTGAGTTATATTCAGTGATGTGAAGAAAAGGGGGAACTACAAAAATATAGAAAAAAATGGAGTAAACCAAATATGAGTCTTACTCACAAAGGTGTAAGGACAGAAGACACAAGGGTCAGGCAACAGATCGTTTATTGAGGAAATCAAGAGATATTTATATACTTTTATGTACATTATTATTCGTTATTATTAGCAGAGAAACAGCGTCTACTGATTGGTCGTTTTCTCACTGAAAGTTAATCTGTCATCTCTTTGTGGCCATTTCTTTGAAGGTCAAACCATATATCTGCGAATTGTATCCACCCACGCAAAGTCTGCTGTGATTGGTTGTTGAATTAGTCTTTATTCTTGTTCTTTTCTCATGACCAAGATTTGGGACGTAAACATTGACGTCAATTGCTGTCTACCAGTTTTGGCTTGCAGACAGCTCTCACCACAAAAGTAATGCCGAAATATACAGATTATACGGTGCCAAATAATAAATTAATAGCACACGAAGTGTGAAAAATAATAATAATGATAATCAGCAGAAGGTGAGGAACAGTGTGAAGTTATTAACTAGGTGAAGATGAGTAGGAAGGAGGTGAATACATGAAATGACTATAGAGTAGGTAGTGGTAAGCATAATGGGATGATGAATGTGTTCAGTTTAAACTCAATCTGTTATACGCGCTTCTCTATAAAATTGGTAAAACTAACATTTTGTTACTCAATAGTCTTCCGATTACAGACCAAGTGGGGAGATCCCATCACAACGCTATCTATTTGTCTTAAAGGATCCTGTAGAACCTTTAAAACAAAACAATTTAGTTTATCTAATACCCTGAAATGATTGCCTGGTCAGAGTAGTAGAACAGGTGCGCAGTCAGACTGTGATGAGAGCTGGCTGCTAGCCAAAGTTGGTAGACAGTAATTGACGTCAATGTTTATGTCCCCAATATTGGTGATGAGAAAATGGGAACAAAGGCTTTGCGTAGGCGGGTACAGTTAGCATATGGATGATCTGACACAGCCATAAAGAGATGCAAGGTTAACTTTCTGTGAGAAACAACCAATCAAAAGACTGTATTTTCTACTAACAATAATCTACAATAATGTAAATCTATAAATATGTGTTGATTTTCCTTAATAAAGGATCTGTTGCCTGGCCCTTGTCTTCTGTTGTTACAAGACTGGTAGAGCATAAAAACCTAGCAGCAAAATCTAGATAAGTTGACCATAATAAGATAAGAAATCTAGAGAATAGTTCAGCTACACTACTCACTACATGCAATTGCACACAATAGGATGAGAGTTTTAAAATCTAATGTCACAGGGTATAGGGAGAGATTGATAACAGAAGCTTTGTTTATCGAATCAACTGCAAACACATGTAATAGGAATGATTCAACACCTGCCCAGTTGGAAAATTCTACTACCCCAACGTCGGTGGCACAGCGGTTAGGACTCTCGCCGACCATGCACATGGTCCGGGGTTCTATCCCTTCCCGACGCACAACTGATATCTATGGTCGGCCTG